TTGGTGGAGGGGGCAAACTCCATGGCTTCTGGCTGCGTTGCCATGGTGACCAGATGGGCTTCATTGCACCAGCGAAAGCGGACCTCTTCATCTTTGTCATCATCTTCCTCCTCCACATCATCGTGATTTTAATGACGTCAGCATCATCGTGTTCATCGTGCAAGGCTTCATTCAGCGTTACTCGCTGAAGTGGTGCCTTGAGATATGAAGTGAATGAGCTTCGGGACCACGCTCATCAGTCAAAACACACCCGATTGCACTTGTATCTCAAGGGGCCACGGTATCATGTTGGCTAGCATCCTCAGCATGTTTATTAGCATGGTGACCAACATTGCTAGTGTGCCAAGCAAACTTGGTGAATGATGCAGACGTGCGCGAGCGAGCGAGTGTGGTGTGGAACATTGCTAGTCGAGTCAAAAGCATCACTGAGTTCGTTGGTAAAGTTTGGAACGCGACAACAAAGGAAAACCTTGTGTCATGATTGACAGGGAGATGTTTTTGTCCTTGCTGTTGTTGTGTTTGCCGGAAATTCCTGTGGCAAAATCTCTTTTGTGTCCGGCAGACTTCTGTGTCCATGAAGAAGAAAGCATCAGCGGGGTCTCTGCCGCACCCCAAAAACCTAACAAAAGCCCACACCTTGTTCTCCATGACCAGTGGGGGCCGGAGTTAGAGCTGTATGAATAACAACACACACACACGCGCACACACACACACACACACACAATTGTGAATGGCTGTAGAGTTCATGATGGGTGACTTGAATGGATTCTTAATGGTTTAACAGCATCAAATGAAGTGGTGTAATCAGATTACTTCTTGACAATTCCTAGACTTCCGAGCTTTTCTTTTCTTTTCTTTTCTTTTCTGCTGTACAAAATGTGAAAAAGGACGTTGTGGAAGGAATGTGGAGAAGGGGCAGAGCCAAGGCGGATTAGCTAACAAAAGACGACCACTCAAGGCTCGGACCGGTCAATGCGGCCTTTCCTTCTGTGCGAGTGATGTCGTGGGGGCTTTGTCTACGTGTTTGGGTGTGTTAGTGCGTGCGGGTGTGGAATTTTGCCTGTGAGTTTGTGACAAGGGGTGTGGGTGTGTGTGTGTGTCGCCGCGTGCGTGCGTGCGTGCGTGCGCGCGTGTGTGTGTGTGTGTGTGTGTGTGTGTGTGTGTGTGTGTGTGTGTGTGTGTGTGTGTGTGTTTGTGTGTAAACGTCATGTGGTGACCACGTCTCATCTCACTTGTCCTGTCATCCTCTCAGGTTATGGGCATCGCCCATCATGATTTCCTGCTGAATAAAAGGAAGTGACGCCGACAAGCGGCGGGGCAGAAGAGGAGGAGCCAGTCAAGCAGTTTGCTGTGGGGTGTAAGCCCCTCCCCCTGCGTGAGGAGTATGCTTTACCTGGGCGGAGTTGGGATGTGGGCGGGGCTGGCAGCCCTGCTTGTTATGGCAACGTGCGGCGTGGACGCAGAGGCGGACACAGGTGCGGCGCCCAACCAGCTGGAGGCGTCCATGAGCTCGTCGCTCCTGTGGGACTTCCAGGAAGCATCCCGTGACGCTGGCACAGCCGCCGCCCACCGCAACTTCCCCGACGCCTGGGCGCCCGTGGGGCGGGTCTTCAGCTTCCGATTGCCAGGGCAAACGGACGAGCATCATCTGGAGGTCAGCCGCCGCTTTGCTTGTTTCAAAAAAACCGCCTCAAAGCAGTGACGCCTTCTTCGGAATTACCATTATTCTGCCAAAAATGTACAACTTTACTCATCAAGTAGCCATATTTCAAATGTAACTTTACTCATAGAATAACCGTATTCCTTATTGACTATATTACAAAAGTAACTTGACTCACAGTAACTGCATTCCAATCTTAAGTTGGCTTGTGAAGTCAATGCATTCCAAAAGTAATTTAATTACAATTTTGTATTTTGTAAAAAAAATAAATAAATAAAAATAAATAAAAAAAGTACTTATTTTTATATAATGTCAAGATATATCCTCATCCATTATAGATGATTATGATTTTATCATCAGTCGTGAAGTAACTTGCCACCGGTGGTCATCAGGAAGCAAATCTGTGATTGGCTGGCACCCAGCGTGTCCCAAAAGCGGTTGCTAGGCAACGGGCGTCCGCACATCATCAGGCGCCTTGTCTTACCTCGACGGCGTTTGGCGGTCGGAATGGCTCGCCGCAAACCATGTGACCATCTGAGCGAGCCCACACGTGCGCGCGCATACGAGTGTGTGAGTGTGTCTTTAAAAGCTCCCGGCCAGCAATGACCATAATTACATAGCAAGTGCGCTGACTCATGCGCTCTCTCTAACGTGTGTGTGTGTGTGTGTGTGTGTGTGTGTGTGTGTGTGTGTGTGTGTGTGTGTGTGTGTGTGTGTGTGTGTGTTTGGGCCCTCCCTGTAATAATATGCACACATGCTAGTGGAGCCCTCAAAATCAGCAAGCACAAACTGGAAGGGAGGATGAAGATGGATAGAGCACCTCCCTCTTGATTGACAACTCATATCCTTCATGACCATGTGATGATGTCATCACTTTCTGCTGTTTTATGTCCGCCTGGCAACGTTCAACGTGTACACACATGCGCTCTCTCTCTCTCTCTCTCTCTCTCTCGCCCCCCCTTTCTCACACACACACACACACACACACACACACACACACACACACACACACACACACACACACTACACTCTTTAACAACGCGCCCCCTTTCTTTGACATTTTCCACTGTCGAGGCCAGGAATCCCCCAACAGCCCCCCCAACTCCACCCCCTTCCGATACCATCCACATATCTCTCTCTTCCTTCCTTCTTTTCATTCTTCAACACTTCAACAACCTGTGTGCGTGAGTGCGTGCTTGTGTGTGTGTGTGTGTGTGTGTGTGTGTGTGTGTGTGTGTATGTGTGTGTGTGTGTGTGTGTGCGTGCGTGCGTGCGTGCGTGCGTGTGTGTGTGTGTTTGTGATTATGCATAATTGAATAGCTAATGAGTAGCTATGGTTGGGCATGGCCTGTATAATTCACCCCATTTTAACGCAGTGCAATGTGCTTGTTTGCCTCCGTGGGCGCTGTCAGTGACTGGCAACCTGTCCCTTGTGTGTTCATACGTGCCATAATATTGATGCTTTTGAACATGGATGGATGAATGGATAATATTAATCATGCTAATAAAGTGCGAACGCTTTTCAGATCTACGAGTCTGGGAAGGATGTCCTTCCATCTTGGCTGCACTGGGACGCCCCACGCAGAACGCTGCAAGGACTGCCACTGGATGAGGACAAAGGTGTCTACTACATATCGGTCGGCGTCTCCAACGAGTCTTCCTTAGAGGTCCTCTCCATCGAGGTCCGCCCCGAAGATCCCTCCGAGGCGGAGTCTCATCAAACGGCGACCAGTCAAGGAGGCGCTGACGGTGAGCCGTCAGCGTGGTCGTGCGGCCCAGAGGAATCGGTCACTGTGTTGACGGTCATCCTGGATGCCGACTTGACCAAGATGAGCTCCCGCCAGAGGGTGGCGCTGCTGGACAAAATGAGGGGCTTCTCAGGGGTGGAGCTCCCCTTCATGAGAGTTGTCCCAGTCGTGAACAACAGACTCTTCGATATGTCCGCTTTCATGGCTGGACCTGGAAATGCTAAGAAGGTCAGTTTGATTACAAGACTGCCCTTGGAATACCTCCCGACTGATGGTTTTTTTTCACGCGTAGAGCCCCTTCACCGTTTATCCCAGAATCCCAGGTCCAGAATAAAGGCGGAGTGCGGTGATGGTGATCAGTATTTGTTCTTCCAGGTGGTGGAGAACGGCGCTCTGCTGTCGTGGAAGCTCGGCTGCGCGCTGGACCAGAGTAGCATGCCGAACCTGGCCGACGTCGAGGGTCCTGCTAAGGGAGGCGTCATGTCGGCCAAACTGGGGTACCCCGTGGTGGGCTGGCACGTGGCCAACAAAAAGCCGCACGTGGCCAAGCGTGTTCGTCGCCAATTGAACAACACGCCCACGCCGGTCCTAACGTCGCTCCCGCCGTCATCTGTGGTGGAGCCGCCCGTCCGAATCGTCCCAACGCTATCGTCTCCGTCCATCGAAGCACCCGCCCAAAGCTCAGCTCCACCCGTGCGTGGTCCTGTCCCACTGCCGGGTAAACCCACCATTCGAGTCCGGGACTCGGTCGTCCACACGCCCACCCTGGAGCCTCCTCAACCCACCAAGGTGATGGAGACCACGAGCACCATCCCCATCGAGCCAACCGCAACCCGGCCTATCTTCGTGGAAGCCACCGCCACGCCGCCTGCCCCCACGCCCGCACGCAAACCCACCAAGAAGCCCAGAAGGCCCAAAACCACGGTGGCGCCTCGTGAGCCAACGACAACCACGGCCAAGCCATCTCGACGCACGACACCTTCGCCGGGGCCTCTTCCGGATCCGTACAATGAAAAACCGGTTTTGCGTAACCCCATCGACCAGGTGAACGCTCTGGTGGGAACATATTTTGAGGTAAAGATCCCTTTGGACACTTTCTTTGACAAAGAAGATGGAACCACTGACAAGCTGCGGCTGAGCTTAAGAAAGAACGTCAATGAAGTGGTGGGAGAAGGTTCCTGGATCCAGTTCAACAGGTGCTTAGGTCTTACTTTTATTATTGAAGTATTTTTGGAAATAGATGCGAGGATACAGCTCATCAGAATAAAATAAAGAGTACGATCTTCTAAATTTTGTTCCGTTACGAGTCGGAAGTTTCTGTTCCACTGATGGCTTTCTCATGCAGACTGGAATTCCAGTTCCAGCACTTTTAATTAGATATTGCGCTTGTATCCTGTAAGGCGGGGGTGTCAAACTCGTTTTTGTCGCGGGCCACGTTCTCGTAACGGTTTCCCTCGGAGGGCTGTTATGAATTTTGGGAAACCATATAAATGTTTAATCCCCTCCACATATTACATACACAGCGCACAACAAATTGTTGAATAACTAGTTTTACAATCAGAAGTCAAGAACAATGACTGTTATTGTGGATTGCATATGACAGTTTGAAATTTTGGTTCAGACTTTAGCAAGCATCATGGAACTTGATACGTTTCATTTGCTTTCACGGGCCACATAAGATGGTGTGGCGGGCCAGATCTGGCCCCCGGGCCTTGACTTTGACACCTGTGCTGTAAGGTGACCTTAAACAACATGAAAGGGAGATGCCCAAATCTAATCTTGTCTGTGCTCCTCTCGACAGCACCAGCCAGCTCCTTTACGGCCTCCCTGACGTGAATCACGCCGGTAAGCACGAGTACTTCGTGCAGGCCACCGACAAAGGAGGCCTCAACGCCATTGACGCCATCGAGGTTCGTGTGGATCGCTGGCCCGCCAACGACAAAAGTCCGGTGGTGTTCACGGCCCGACTGGAGGGAGAACCGCGACGGGTCACCAACGACATCCACAAGAAGATCCTCCTGGTCCGGAAGCTGGCCTCCGCCATGGGGGAGCGCAACAGCAGCACAGTGACCCTGAGGAACATCAGCAAGGGTTCCATTCTGGTGGAGTGGACCAACAGCAGCCTGCCGCACACACCTTGCCCCAAGGAGGACATCATGAGGCTGAGCCGCATGCTGGGCGACGCCGACGGCAGGCCCACGCCCATCTTCCGCCGCGCCATGGAGCCCGACTTCCGACCCCTGGGTGTCATGGCCAAGGGACGGGCCAGCTGTCAGGCCTTCTCTTTCATCCCGCCAGGCGAGACGGAGATTCCGCCGTCCGCCGCGGTGACCCCGGCCCTTGGGACTGGGCGGCAGAGTGCGGATGACGTCTACTTGCACACCGTTATACCCGCTGTGGTGGTGGCGGCCATATTGCTGCTGGCGGGAATCGTGGCCATGATTTGCTACCGGAAGAAGCGCAAGGGCAAACTGACCCTGGAGGACCAGGCCACCTTCATCAAGAAAGGCGTGCCCATCATCTTTGCCGATGAGCTGGACGACTCCAAGACGCCGCCCTCCTCCGGCGCCCCGCTCATCCTGCTGGAGGAAAAGCCACCACTGCCGCCGCCCGAGTACCCCAACGCCGACCCGCCTGAGACGGCGCCCCCCGACCGCCAACTCCTGGGCGAGTATTCGGCGCTCCGAGACGACGACCCCAACGCCCCACCCTACCAGCCGCCGCCGCCCTTCGCCGCGCCCCAGGAGGGCAAAGGCTCGCGCCCCAAGAACATGACCCCATACCGCTCGCCGCCGCCCTATGTGCCGCCCTAAGAACCGCTGGCCCCACCCCATGAGGTGGCGCTCCTGCTGAGGTTCTGACGCTCGGTGCCACGGCGAGGGCAGGTCCTGTGGGGAGGGGCTACCAGGGAGGGGGCGGGGATTGGCATCTGGTAAGGACTACTGTTGTAGCCGAATGCTAAGTGACCTACGACCCCGCACACCTAACCTTGCGAGACATGTGCTCGCATTACCGGTGTTTTGCTTTTCACGTTTTTCGCCAGCGTTCTGTTTTCTGTGCGGGTGGTTTCTAACAACAAGGTACAATGCGTGCGTGTGTATGCGCATGTGTGTGTGCAGGTGTGCGAGTGTGCGCATGCGTGGGCATCGATGTGCCCATGTGGTTCTGTGTTTGGGTATGCGGAGCAGGTCATCATGGTCACGCATGCACGAGCGTCCGTAATCCCAAGGTCCATTTGACATGAACCGTTTGTCACGTTTGAATCAACGAATGTGCATTTGTTTGCCTTCATGTGTGAAGCAAAAATGTTGACGAAAAAAGACAGTTGTCATCACAAACGTTAACCAGCGTCATTCACGGGTGCTAGGATGATGATGAAGTTTGACTTCCGAAATATTTTTCTACTTAAGACAGATGAAGTCAATAAAGTCTTCATGTTTTTCAGGACTTTTGATACAAATTAGCTTTCTTTGAGGATTGGTCGAAAATGGCAAAGATGACGATGATTGTCTACAATCGGCGAGCGTTTTTGGATATTGACTCCTTTTGCTTCATTTCTCTTCCTTTAAACGTTTGAGGGACTTTTTGCAATAATGACGCTAACAGGCTTCATTTGCTTTCCACAATAAAAGTCGACTTGCTACTACAGTGCTGGCATCCGCTCCCTTTTTCCCACCATGCAACACAGACGCAGTGATTGACATCTCATGCCACACACATCGCCAACGTTTCAGTATGATGTAAAGAGAACGCTGAGTGTCATTTGCATGGAGTACTGATTTTGGAAAATCTGATAAACATATCAAAAGCATAATTTGGAAGGCGGTGTTCATTTTCAACCACCTTTTCTCCCAAAACACGCTCGCTCGAGTGGGGAAGAAAGGGAAAGTCCCCAAGCAGAAAAACGAAGCGCTGGGAGCAGGGGCTCCGCCCACTTAGCCTCAAAGATGGTCGCCACAAAGCGATTTGCTGTTGATCGTGTCGTCGCCGAGGCGACGCCAACGCTGCCTGACCTTTGGCGGGAATGCAGACAAGAAGAATGAATGCCGCCAACGCTCGCATCGACAGACTGCCTACATGAACTCGAGTCGTTTTGGGCATAGCCACATACTTATCCTTTCACTAGAGTATTTCTGTCAAAGGGGAGTTTAGCATATTTTAAACGTCACACTGAGCTCCATTTTGCGCACTGCTTTTATTTTTATGAAGTTACTGTTGCTTGCGCGATTTTTGTTTTGGTGTGCACGAGTCACATGACTCAATTTCACCAATCGGTCGGAGCCAGGCCGTCACATGACCGCACACCAAAGTCTCTGGGGCCTCACAAGTTCAAAGTGGAAACAAAGAACACTGGTGGCAGTTTTGTTCGTTTTTTTGTCATTTAAATTCACAATTATTTCAGTTTAAAGTTGAGCAGTGTCTGATCTTGGCATTCTGTCTCTTTGACGGTCATACTATAATTTAAAAAAGTAGTTTTCGTCCGAAATACCTTCTTATTTGAGTAATTATTTAAAGGAACGCTTTTTAACTTGGATATGAGTCAAAATTTTCTCAAGTAATAAAACTCCTGTGAGGATGTTCTCCGATGATTGCTGGGCTAAGCTCCAGCACGCCCGCGATCCTTGTGAGCATAAACCGTTTGGAAAATAGATGCACGTGTAATTTTTGTGTAATGGACCTCTGCTCGTGTGTTGCTCATCTTCTTGTCATATGGCGCCCTCTGCTGGCCAAACGATGTCATAAATCCCCTTTTTGGATATTACAGGGTTTCCGAGGAAAGACGAACACGCGCACACACGCATTCACGCACTCAATTGACCACACCCTTCAAGGGTGGGCTCCTTCCGTCTATTGCTGTTTTTTTTTTCAATTTAAAAAATGTAACCCCATTTTTTAGAATTTTCTAAATGAATATCGAATTTACCTTAAATCCTGAGATTTCATACTACTGCTATGAGAATGCTCTTTGTTCGCGTGTGAATTAGTGCAACTGATGCCATGGTAATGTTCAACTATTATATTTATATTATATTAGTTTATTAGTGGACTCTTGCGGTTATTGATTAACGTGGACTAGCATGGTTAATGTTAACGTGCATTCGAAAATACCTGTGGATAAGGGTGGCCAACAATGTTGTATGTTTGTTTGGATTGCTAATGCTACATTATTTTATCTGGAGCATGTGAATTAGCAAACCTTACGAATGTCACAGGTTTGTTAGCATGTGGATAAATGTGGCTCGTGCTAAAACTCCTGCTTCTTTACATCCAGACTCGCATGGTTAATTTTAGGATGTAGACCAACAAGGCGAGTGTTAGTAGGTGGATTAGCATGTCAAATAATACAATGTGGTGTTTGTTGGTAGAGCAATCAGTACGGCACAGAATGGCACAGGTTTGTTTGTTATGGATAATGCGAAAATTACGTCTTGACAGTGTGGATAAGCAGTTCAGAGACCGGATGGATCAATGGAGGGACAGACAGCCGGACGAGCATGCCTAATGTTAGGATGTGGCTCATGATATAATGGTTGTGTAGTGTAGTTAAAAAAAAAAAAAAAAAAAAAAGGATGCCATAAAACATTACCATTTTCTTTAACATGAGAACATATGTTAAAAACAAAATACATAAAAAAGAGAAATAGTCCTTTAAAAAGGTTACCAGGGAAACAATATTTTCACCATCTCACATTTTGACTTCCTACTTCAAATCACATTTGAAAGCAAAAAAAGTAAGAAACATTCAAAGATGTTTTGTAGTGTTAAAAGAGAAGAGACACAACACGCTAGCTAATTAATTCATGGGGGAGGGCGGAGCTTGGTTTTTTTTTTTTTTTTAGTTGGAGCGCATCGCAGTTGGGAGTCAGGGCAGCCCCTTGAAGTCAGTTAGTGTCATTGACCACCACCACCACCATGTGCTCCTCGTCCAGACGCGTGGCTGCCCTCTTGGCCGCCTGTAGGTACTGCACCGAGAAGTCACCTGGTGGGAAGGCATAAAGCATGGCGCCAGGGCCGCCTTCCTTTGCGCCTGGCAGGCTGACCACACCTGCGGCCTCCTTGTTGCGCAGGTAGGCCACCAGGTGACGCAAAAGGCGTACCTGGAGCCCCGCCTCAGGAGCACCAGCCTGCCGGTCCACAGGTCCCTGGAGGGCCAGCAGCACAGCAAAGGCATCGGGGCGACCCGCCTTCACGCGCCGCGCCACCTCATCCAGGCGGCTCTGGTCCATGCGGAGGCGCTGAGCAATCTTTAGCGGTTCGCCGTTGCGCCGCATTATGGCACCAAAGAAAGGGGCGCCGCCTTCCAGCAGGTACAGGTGGGCCGGGAAGCTGCTGTTCTTTAATGCAAACACTCCGCGCCAACACTTAGTTAGTGACACCGCTGCAAACTCCGACAGCGAGCCGGGGCTCAGTGGAGGTGCACCAGCAGGTATGGGGGGCGAGGCTCCTGCCTCACTGTTGCGGTGGTGATGGGCGTCTGCCTGTTTGCTAGTGCGGTGGCGAGCAGTCGGAGACTCAGCCTCCTTGGCGTCGGGCGTGTGATCACGTGGCTCCGTGGTGGAGTCGGGCGCCCGGATGCGGGCGCGGTCAGGGCTGAGGTCGGGTGACGTTCGTGCGCGGCCACGTCCCTTCTCGCGCTCGGCCGATAGACTGCGGCTCCGCCTCCGGCCCCGCCTCTCCTCGCGGTCCTTCAACCAGCGCTCCCTGCTGCGACTCCGGCCCCTGCTGCTCCTCCCAAAGGCATCTGCCCCTGCAAGGCCCGGCCTCCTGTCCGGGCCCCGTGGAGGGCTGGGGACGATGTCGCGCTCCCTCTGCGAGGACGGAGACATGCGCTCCCTGGCTCCACGCTCCAGGCTGCGACGGCGGCCGTAGACGTCAGCCAGTGCGTCGTACTGGGGCAGCAGCTGCACGGGCGCGAATGGGCGGGCGGCAGTCTCTTCCACTTTAGCGAAGTCTACGCGCAGGCGGCGATCGGCACCGCCCAAAGGGAAGCCTCTCATCTGTGTGCACGCTGCCTGCGCCGCATCCAGACTTTCGTACTGTACGTAGGCAAAACTCTCACCCTTGACGTAGTCAATGTTGCGGATGCTCCCGAAGCGATCGAACTCGCGGGCGAGGGCAGCCAGCGAGTTAGCTGGTCCCAAGCCACCCACCCACAAGCGCGTGGTTGGGTTGGCTTTGCCATAGCCAATCTTGACGGGATGGCCGCCAACTAGGCGGCCCTGCATGGCCACCTTAGCGCGGTGGGCCATGTCCAGGTTCTGGAACTTGACAAAAGCGTAGGCGCCGCCCTGGCCTCGCGCTGGCCTTTTGATGACCACATCCTCAATGGCGCCGTACTTGTCGAAGCCGTGCCTCAACTCAGCCTCTGTGACGCCGCCGTCCAGGTTGCCAATGAAAAGGTTGCTTGTGGCACGCTGGTCATCTTCGGGCTTCAGATCATCAGGCGGCGGTGGCTGAGGAACTGGCGGCAGGCCATAGGGACGCCCCCTGTCGTCCAGCATCCCGTAATAGTCCAGCAGGCGCTCGCGGCTCAGGCTTTCCAAGGCGTATTGGCGTGCGCGCAGCTCACGCAGGCTGAGCGAGGGTCCTGGCGGCGACAGTGACCTCTGGCGGTAGGGTGGGTAGGAGACGTGCGTGGCATGGGCGTGCGCGCGCACGGCGGCCAGGTAGGTGACGTCGGGCGGCGTGACACTCCTCCTACGCACGTACACTGGCTCGATTTTGAGGGGCCGCTCTGCCAGGAGTAGCCGAGACGTTTTGGCGTGGCGCGCTTCTTTAGCGTCCTCCGCGTGACGGAAGTTGACATAGGCGATGCGGCCCAGTTCCGGCGTGTGTGACAGTTTGACGCTGACATCGCCGAACCTCTTGAACTCGTGGAAGAGGGCGTCCTCCAGGTCGTCATCGGGTACCTGCGGGCTTACGTTGCTGATGAGCAGTGTCTTGTAGTCCCTGGCTGGGGGCCGCAGTCCGGCCGTCGCAGCCGCCTTGTCCCGCTCCCGGCTGCGGCTCCTCCGGCGGTGTCCGCCGCGGCTGTCCGCCAGTAGCAGACCCAGCGGCGGTGGGGCGAGCTCGTCCCGGCGGCCGCTCTCTCGGTCCCTCTCCCGGAGACGCTTGGCGGCCGCCCTGGACGACGACGGAGGAAGAGGAGGCGAACTCTCCCTGGCTGCCTGCCGCTTCATGTCGGCGGGAAGGACGACGAGGGGGACGGAGCTCTTCCAGCGGCAATAATCCTTGGTGTATTAGTCTCCAGCAGGTTTGGCTAAAGCGCCACTTCCGCCCCGCCGCGGCGGCGACGTGCGTTTGCCCCTCGACAAAGCCAAGAGAGGCTGGAAAAGGAAAACATGTCCGCCCGTCAGCGACGGGAGAGGTGCAACGACAACGCCGTCGCCATCTTGGACAATAGGAATGTGCGCCTGCAACGTTTGGAGGCGGGGGCGAACGGGCGACGTGACGTCATCACGCAGGGCCAGCTCGTCATACAGTCGGACAAATTTTATTCACAAAGCCAATTTTTTAAAGAGTACTCCATGCTTTACGTTTTTTTACTTGATATTGTTACATTGAGTCTGTCAAATTTATCGATAAAAAAGGTCAACATTTTTGACATGTACTCAAAGTTGTTTATTTGAAGTCTGTCAACAATTTGTACATACATATACTAAAATGTTAATGTGTAATCTTTTTGATGTTTGAATTGGAATGTCTTGATTTTATGTATTTCTGTTTTTGTTCTCGTTTCTTGTTAAATTGACAAAGAAAATGTTCTTAAAGTGTCAAGTTGAATATTTTGTCCATAAAGATAAAAAGTAAAAAAAAAAACATTAATTCAGACATATGAAAAATAATCCTAATTTATACAATCCACCAAATCAAGTTTCTCCACTACTGTTAGTGTTTTCTTTTTAAGTCAATTAGAATTTTTCCTCTAAGAAACATGAAGCTATGGTAAATATTCATTCAAAACTATTAATCCTTGTCACAAAGTAATGAAATATGTTCCCTTATGTCTGTTTCTGACCTGTGTTCTGACATTGCTGGTTATTAACAGTAATGTTATTACCTAAATTGTGATGACTGCCACAAGAGGAAATGTAAAATACAAGTACTCTAGTGGACTGTTCCCTTTCCCATTTACTGCAAGAACATTTAATTTGTTCTTCCTGTCGCCGTCACTGGCAAAGATTGATGAACCAAGATAGATTTATTGTTGCTATCTGTCATCCAGGAACTTGCCCAAGATTGAATCAAGGCAAGTGGCAAAGGTGCAATGCTATGACAACTCAGCCATGTTTTTCTCCAAGAGAGCTGTAAAATTATTTAAAGGTCAAAGAGTAACAAGGTCATCACATCCAAAACAACTTATTTCTATATGACACATTGCGAGTGTCTAAAAACAGGGGTCTCAGAAAACAAAAAAACCAAAGCACCGTTTGTCATAGAGGAAGAAACAAGTTATCCATCCATCCATTTTATAATACGCTTCTCCTCACGAGGGTCGCGGTCATGCTGGAGCCTAACCCAGCCGTAATTGTGCAGTAGGCGGCAGGGGAGACCCTGAACTGGCTGCCAGCCAATCGCAGGGTACACATAGACAAACATTCGCACTCACAGGCACACATAGGGACAATTTCGGATGCTCCATTAACCTACGGTGCATGTTTTGGGAATATGGGAGGAAACCAGAGTAATCCAGAGAAAACCCACGCAGGCAGAACATGCAAACTCCACACAGGAAGGCCGGAACCGAACCCTGCACCTCTGCACTATGAGGCCGACGTACTAACCAGTCAACCACCGTGCCCCCCAAACAGAGGTTATGAATGTGATAAAACCCCTTTTGCTTTCCGAAAAAGACACCAATTTATTTGAGAAGGCCGGTCACGTGTTTTGGTACATGGCTTTTTCAAACCCAATTCCAATCAAGCTGGGATGTTGTGTTAACCATAAATACAGAATGCAATGATTTGCAAAGCAAGTTGATTTGCTTTGCTGCTTACATGCGATAATTTCTCCAGATTCTCTGAACCTTTTGATAATGTCATGGACCATAGATGATGAAATCCCTAATTCTTTTTTACCACCTGTCCCAGCTTTTTTTGGAACATGTTGCAGCCATAAAATTCTAAAAGTTCATGATTATTTATTAAAAAATAAAGTTTTATCAGTTTGAACATTATATATCTTGTCTTTGTGGTGTATTAAAATAGAGGTTGAATATGCGTTGCAAATCATTGTATTGTCTTTGTTTAACACAACATCTTAACAGAATTGGAATTACATTTGTAATTGACTCAAAGCTGACATACGGAGGAGTCATGGCTTTTGGGAGCGTTCCTTGGCACCCCTTTGCCATATGCAACTTTACACCTCTGAAAAATGGTACAACATCATTTTCATATTTTGCGCAGCCTCGTTTGACAAGCACCGCACTTAAGTGTTTGGGAAACACGGTTTTAATACAAACACAAACATCAAGTCAGAAACAGGAAGTGATGGCGGCCCTGCGGCCGGACAGCGGGTGAAACCAAATGTCCGCCTGTCGGCGTCCTGAGTGAGTCGCATGGAAAGAAGAAACGGCACACACGCACGGCACAGCACGGCACAGCGCACCGCCTCCCGATTGCGCGCGACGAACGGTGGGCCCGCGACGGAGGCGCCTGCCAGCGGGTCAGCCGCACCTCGCTGATCAGAGGTCAGTCCGTGAGCTGGCGGCGGCTGGTGCGTACTTGGGCATCAGCTCTGTGATCTTCCGGATGAAGTCGGACTTTTCGGCGCAGCCTTTGCAGGACTCACCCCACTCTTCCAAAATCTTCTTCAGATCCTTGACCTTCAGTTTCTTCAGGTCCACTGAGCTCAGGTCCACTTGCTTGTCTGTACAATCACACACAAGAGGTGTTTTACACATACAGTATTGCAGACGGACAATAAAAGGACTGAAATAATGAAAGCAAGAGAGTAGTGACTTGTGGGGGGGGAACAGGGTTTTCAAGATAAAAACCTTCCAGTCAATGGCAGCTGGTCCAATTAGGAAAAATATTCTTCAGAAAGACACTTTAAGGTGCTTGTTGAAAGTGACTCGAAATCAAAGACACCTTGGCTATTTCACACAAGCTAATGGCTAGCGTGCCACTAGCTTGATGCTGGTGCTAATCAGCATCTTTAAGCAGCAGATTGAAATGGCGTGACAACGTGTACACCAAGTAGAACAGTACTCACGTTCATATATGCTCTACGTATTAGTGTCGTACTGGTGAGCTCAGAGAAAAGTTGAGGTGAGATCAGAAATTCCAACGAGTTAATGGCAGGACATGCCCTGCTCCAATAAAACAAAACAAGTATTTTCCCCAGAAATGAAAACTAACAAACTCTTTTGAAAATCGAATTAAAACAAAGAAAAAGTCACAAGAAAAAAAATTAATTAAATATTACTCGTGAAGAATGCCAAACTATCCAGAGTGTCATTTGCGCCCAGGCACGAATGGAAGTGGGGGAGAAAGTGTAAGTGGCAGTTACCGTATCGCAGTTCACAGATTTGGCTGTCTTTCTTCTTGAGCTTCTCGCAGATTTTGTCAACTGGAACGTGATAGCTGAGCGGCTTGGACACCTCGTTGGTCATCTTCGTGGCCGCATCACTGGTCGCCCCAATGTAGTAGCACTGCACTCACGTACGCGCGCGCCACACAACACACAAAACACACGTCCCCTCGTTAGAAGGCAGCAGCGGCACCAGCAAGGAGGAGGTCACGTTTGTGTGGGGACTTACAAATCGATTTTCTTTGCCTTTGGCGGCACTGCAGCTCTTGAGGAGCGCCTTCTCCACATTGTCGCTTTTCATTTCTACTTTGTCCTCCTGAAGCGATTTGTAGAACTTGCCCAAAAACGTCACACACACTGCAACAAAAATTTTGCTCTGTAACATCCGGCCGCAAAATTGGCAAAAAATGTTGATCGATGTTTGCCGACTGAAAGTCGACGGTTGCCAATGTCTCGTTTTGGAAAAAACAGAAGACGATCAGTCTGCTCTCATGGAGGACGAATCAGAATAAAAAAATGTATTAAATGGCAATTAATAGTTTGTCTTCAATTTTGAGGATTTGCCAATTCCAAGTTCAACAAGGTCTCCAAACAAACAATTATCAAAATAGTGGTCAATTATTTCCAGAATGGATGACCCGCTCCACCTGGAGTCTTCACATTCTCTTGTCACCTGTTTTTTATTTGCTGCAAACATTTGACTGCAGGAAACAAGAAAACAGATGCGCTTTGTTTGAACGTAATGTCAGCTTTTTTTCCATCTTGTCCTCAACGTACAACACAGGAAATCTTTTCACTTCGATATTATTTGAGATCTCCGTGTGTGCTTTCCTTCAATGATGTCAGCTTTGTGTTCAACTTAACAAGCCCAGCTTCCACACCAAGTATGTCCATTTGCCAAATCATCATTATTTCAGTAGATATATTTTTGGCATAAATCTTGACTTAGGCTTTATTTGTATATGCGGGCATTTAGTACATCTTGGTCAGTCTGTTTTTCTGCCACTTCTCCGAACTCCTACCCCTTCCTCATCTGCTGGAAGAGGGAGCAAGGTGGTGATGTTTGACTCTCAGGCGGTTTGGATTTTGCACCACCCAACAGGGACAAGACCTGAGGTGGACCGTTTCCCAGAGGCGTTGCTAAGGATGACTGTACATCGACTTAGATGGCTAGGTCTTGGGAAGAACCCCTTTCTCCAAGGTGTCCACCAGCACTACTTCATCTCATTAAATGGGCCGGCATGGCTCGGCTGTTGGGGTGGTCGTCTACCAACCCGAAGGTGCGCTCAGTCCGCAACCCTTGTGACCTTGTCCAAGTGTCCTTGAGAAAAATACTGACTCCTCCCATTTGCTCCTGATGCTGCGTCATTATGTAAAATGAGGAGACAGTGTTCAAGCGCATTGAGAACCTCAAGTTGAAAGTGTAATCCAAGTAAAAGTTCAGTTAACCATGAAATGGACTCTCATGCCGCTTTAGCCAGCACTGTACGGCATCATACTATGTCGTAAATAAATGATGCCTGCTCAGCATCCAAAAATGGGGTCCCCTCCACCTGTGCTTGTTCCTTCTCAGAGATTCTTCTTGTTGCCCCTAAATGATGTCTGCGTTTTACCTTGCAGGATTGGGGGAGTTTAGCTCAGAGGGTGTCGCCCGACACATCCACTTTACTTCAAGGGAGTGTGTTGTGAGTTTTCCAAAATAGAATAATGTGCCGTGATTAAACAGAGGTTGAGCAACACTGGACAATTAGATTGTATGCGAGTTATGCCCGTCATTTAAAACGCCGCACAAACTGATGGAAACACATTCAACGCTTACATTTAACACTTTCAATTCGCAATTAAATTATGACATTGGTATGTTCCTCTTCATTATCCAAACGAGCATGGCTGATTTGATTAAGATTTTCAAGAGTTATTTGGACTTTTTGGATTGGAGTCGCCTGGGCAAACGTTAGCCGGCCGCCAGGCTCGAGCTTACCTTCGCATTCTCCTTCCTTGAGCGCCTCGCTGGACGCCAGCACCGCCGCGAGCAGCACAGCCGCCGACACGCCGCCAGAAATCAACATTTGAGCCTCTCGAGCGTGCAAATCAAAAATGTCAATTTCACGCTCGCCGCCCCAGAACCAACTTGAACCTTTGCCTAGTTTGTCTAGCCTGACTTAGCTTAGCGTAAGACTCGTTGTCACTCGCTGCCGCCGGTAACCAACACGCGAGTCCAGGCGAACGTCAAGGACAGCCTCGGCTTGTCATTGGCTGACAGCGGCGACACTCAACGATTCCCTCCCCGCGCTTTGCCCCGATTGGACGAAGACCAGACGGCCCGGGGACAACGTCCAGTTGGCGCCATGTGATTGGACCAGCACGCTGTACAGATGGAAACTAGTGACACGCTCGATCGAAGTGTTTTTTAAAAACTTTATTTAAAAAAAATGCAAGGTATAAGTACATGAGAAAACTGGAGTCGAGACAAGAAATACATTTTTTAAATCTCAAAACCCGTTAAGGGTGGGTTACAAACAATATCAAAGTCAAATAAAATAAATATGAACAACAAAAAGGATGCTGTAAAAAGTCAGATAGATTTTACAGTTTGCAGTAATTATTACGCACACATAGACACACGGGCACACGCACACGCACACACACACGAACACGGACACACACACGAACACACACGCACACGCAATACACGTTTCCGACGTTAAATTGGTTTTTGACGTGTACGATAGGAAGGCAAACTTTCTTCATCAAGTGTATGTGGTTAACTTGACTGCTCGATTTAAATTCTCTTAATCTTTGACACCCTTTGTGGCAAAGTAAGCGTTTTATTGGCCAGCGATAGCATGTTTTGACTGTGCATATGACAAATAAACATCTTAAAGCATGAACTGTGTCACGTGGTCACTTGTGGCCCGTGACGTCAGCGTTGAGTTTGTTTTTGTGTGACATCGGTGAGGCTATTGCAGTTTACGAGCGCACTCACGATAGGCGGCGACGGCGGGCGAATAGTTTGTGATTATTAGTCTTATTATGTGTTTTCTTCTCTTCCTCGCTTTCACTTGACGTCAGTAGACAGGTGACGCACATTAGTTTGTTTTCTTTTCAGCGTGGTGTTGCTGCACGAAGTAGCCAGTGGCGTCGTTAGCCTCGCTAGACTCGTCAGCCGCCGAGTGTGAGCGACCGCCGTCCTCGGCGGGGCCTCGGCTTGTCATTGGCTGACAGCGGCGACACTCAACGATTCCCTCCCCGCGCTTTGCCCCGATTGGACGAAGACCATACGGCCCGGGGACAACGTCCAGTTGGCGCCATGTGATTGGACCAGCACGCTGTACAGATGGAAACTAGTGACACGCTCGATCGAAGTGTTTTTTAAAAACTTTATTTAAAAAAAATGCAAGGTATAAGTACATGAGAAAACTGGAGTCGAGACAAGAAATACATTTTTTAAATCTCAAAACCCGTTAAGGGTGGGTTACAAACAATATCAAAGTCAAATAAAATAAATATGAACAACAAAAAGGATGCTGTAAAAAGTCAGATAGATTTTACAGTTTGCAGTAATTATTACGCACACATAGACACACGGGCACACGCACACGCACACGCACACACACACGAACACGGACACGCACACGAACACACACGCACACGCAATACACGTTTCCGACGTAAAATTGGTTTTTGACGTGTACGATAGGAAGGCAAACTTTCTTCATCAAGTGTATGTGGTTAACTTGACTGCTCGATTTAAATTCTCTTAATCTTTGACACCCTTTGTGGCAAAGTAAGCGTTTTATTGGCCAGCGATAGCATGTTTTGACTGTGCATATGACAAATAAACATCTTAAAGCATGAACTGTGTCACGTGGTCACTTGTGGCCCGTGACGTCAGCGTTGAGTTTGTTTTTGTGTGACATCGGTGAGGCTATTGCAGTTTACGAGCGCACTCACGATAGGCGGCGACGGCGGGCGAATAGTTTGTGATTATTAGTCTTATTATGTGTTTTCTTCTCTTCCTCGCTTTCACTTGACGTCAGTAGACAGGTGACGCACATTAGTTTGTTTTCTTTTCAGCGTGGTGTTGCTGCACGAAGTAGCCAGTGGCGTCGTTAGCCTCGCTAGACTCGTCAGCCGCCGAGTGTGAGCGACCGCCGTCCTCGGCGGGCTCGGCGGCCTCTATGTGTGCTCTGGATCCGGCCGTTGCCGCGTGGAATTTGTGAAGAAATGTAAGTCTTTGCGTTCTTCCTCGTTGTCGTCAGCAAGCTTTCGCCTCGCTCATTTGGTAGCCGATTAGCGGCTAACATTAGCCCAGGTGGTGGCAGCAGGCGGCTATTAGCAAACACTTTGCTAGTTTTCGTGGCCCTCTGCTCGTCCAAGACAAGACGAGATGCATTGTTCAAGGTTGGCCGAAAAATCCAACGTCTTTCTTTCATTCAGAACAATGGATTTGCCACCTAGCTCGTAGTTTTTGCAGCGTCATGGCACCACGTGACGTCAGTGGCTCGATGACGCCACTCAAATGGACACAAATACGTGACCTTATGAAGCAGGTATGAGTTCAGGGGCCACAGTTATTCCAATTTGAACTCAGCTGGGCACCGCTAGTCAGCATGGATCCAAATCCCTGTTGTGGCAATGTACAAAAAAGCCACAGGAAGATTCCAGCAAAGTGACCCCTTTACTACTCACGCAGTTGACTGACATTTTGGCATAGCGCTACAGTTTTTGACTCCCGACAGTGCAGCCTTTTCCCGCGAAGTTGGCATCTTTTACTGCTAACACTTGGCAACTTTTCGCCTTCTCAAGTGCGGAAAGACCAGGTGTAAAATCCTGAGGAGCAGCCAATTTCACAAACTGCGCCCTCGAGTGGACAAAATTGTAAAATTGCATTTAATGTGTGTTCTGTCCCCACGAGAAGTGGCAAAGAAAGTAAAAAACCCTGCCACCGTTTCGCTTTCGCCACAAGTGCATCTACTCAATTGGTGGGTAAACAAGCTCATTTGTCTGCCAGTTGAGAAGAAGCTCCTGTGGCTAAAGCCAAACAGTGGCAGGGTTTTGACTTTCTGGACCTGGATTTTCCACTTCTGCCCCCCCATGGGGCAAACGTTGGCATGCCCTGGCGTAAAGCAAACTAAGCAAAGCACAAAAAATATAATGTCGCATGATTGACTCGTTTCGACCTCTTGCTGCTTTTGCCCATTCATGTAATGTAAGCCAAGTCCAGAGTGGTGAGCCTCCTTGTTGGCCCTCTTCAAACGTGTTGCGTTTGTTTGTCAGTGGGGGGTCCGGCCTGGGTCCAGCATGGCACCAGGCGGTCCGGAGCATGAGGAAGAAACGCTCCAGACAGCCTTCAAGAAGCTGCGAGTGGATGCCGACAGGTACGACCCGTCCCTCCATACGATGTCCGTGCTGCTAGCGATCGGATGCTGACGCACACTTTTTTGTGTGTGCAGGGCACTCACGGCGCCTGGTGTGCCCGAATCTCCTCGAGTGACAGCAAGGGACCCCGGCCCTTCTAAGGCCAAACACGGAGCGTCCAAGGACAACTGGCACGGGTGAGTGGATGTGTGTGGAAGGCGTTTACAACCATTCTTGACTCCTTTACCAGTGTGGCTTTTTCATAGAGTGGACCTGAATAGTGCCACTCAAAATCCCTTTGAAGCGAGTGAATTCCTTGGCAATCATTAACTCGTCACAATGCATTCTGACAGCGCTACAAAATGGCCACCCCACTGTACACTAGGGCCCCACCCATATGGACCGTTTGAGGCCGACGCCTATATTTGGCAGAATCAAATTCTGATGACCGATTAATCAGCTCATTAATTTTTTAAAGTATCTACTGAATGCTATCAATTATTTTTTGGGGTCCCTTAATGCTAAAAGAAGCCAATTTACTTTGAAACCGTCCGCTGAGCTTTTTGGACAAGTCGAGTGGAAAAGGATCCCGATTGGTACTTTCTGAAAGGACGGGTTGCTTTTGCGCAGGTAGATCGTGACGAACTTTTTGTTTCAGCAGCTGCATGAGGAAGGCGTCGCGAGGAGCCAGTCGGACGCAGCGGCGGCGGCGCTCTAAATCGCCCATCCTGCACCCCCCGAGGTTCACCTACTCTGCCACACCGCCCCCTGCCGGAGTCCTAAAGAAGCGCACTGAGCTCAGCCCCACATCCTCTGGCGGCTTTGGGGCGGTGCCCACCGGGGCCGCTCCGCGTCGACTTGCGGCCACCGTCCCCCCGTCTGAGCTTCCCGGGAAGGACCAGAGCAGCTCAGGAACCATCCGGGAAAAGGATGACGCTGACACGACCGACTTCGGACTTTTGTCCAAGCGCCGTGGTTGCAGTGGCCTGTGCGCGTGCTCGCACACAGACGGCGACCCGAAGGCTTGGGAGGGAGCGAGCAGCGGCGCAGCCCCCTGTTGCTGTGCATCCAAAACGGATGCTTGGTCTGGCACGGGAGCATACTCCTTCACGGGACTGCGCGACGTCATCTCTGAGTGCGAGAGGCACGGGGGACCCCGGCCCCCGCCCACCAGGACTGCCGGCCTTGCCCACTCGCCGGCCTCCCCTCGTTCGTGTTCTTCGCAGGCGCTGGTCTCGGTCGATGACGTCACCATGGAGGACCTGGCCGGCTACATGGAGTTCTACCTCTACATACCGAAGAAAATGTCACACATGGCTGAGATGATGTACACGTGAGTGCATGTGCACACCAACATGACCTGCGTGATCACGTACAGGCACTCTTCCTCCCTTTCCTGCTTCAATAAAGTTCAATGTTTGGAAGATGCCTTTTTTTATAGAAAAATGACATCAAGAAACTTAAGTTATGTTTACACTACAGGGGGCGATGCCCAATCCGGGTTTTTTGTTAAATCCAATTTATGTACTCATTCACATTACAAAAATACCTGCGACTTCTTACGCGAACACAACTGCACAACAGCATCTGGTGTTGAACAGGTCCGAAGAGGCGATACACAAAGATTGAAGTACAGTGACTCAAGACAAGTATCAATTGCACAGGAAAACAACCTTCAGCTCAGGACTACTTGAGCAATTTTACTCATGGATTACTTATTTATGCAAATGTTAATTATTTGGAGGACTACTTTTTACTTGTACTTGACCTATATTATTCAAAACGCTGCATAACAACCGTACACGCCCTGAGGCATGGTCCAATCAGAGAAGTGAAAGCGCTGCTCCTGATGGCCATCGTCAAGGAGAAATGGTTTGAGGAAACGCCGATTGTCGCAGCACTCCATCCCACGTGTATCCGAAACACACAAAGGCCTCCTTGTTGCAAACGAAAACAATGACCGGGCTTACAAACTTCCACCCTTTCCTCCGTGCTCATTAATCAGCATTTGAGCTGAAATAGTGGCATACAAACACACGTCTTTTTCGGATGGATGGATGATACAATATTATGAGCTTATAAAAACAGCATGTTTCGTTGAAGTATCACAAAAAGGAAAGTGGGCGAAAGAATGCAAAGTTTGTGAGCAAACGATACATTTTTTTGTACAGAACTTTTATTTTCACAAAGAGACAAAGACCGACCGATGACCTTGAACTGCATCATGACAAAAGGCACGGTAGTCACGGGAGGTCAAAGACTAAAAACCCAAAACATTGAAAATGACGACGATGCGACTTTCCCATCTACTGAGAAAACCAACTAGTCGTTTGGTTGAAATATTTGGTAAGACATCGCATCCCCACATTCTGCTAATTCACATACAGTAAATCTACAACAAAATACTATCTGACTAAAGAGGGAAAAAAAAAGTACCGCATCACTTCTCCCAATCACAAATGAGCTAGAAGAAAGGGTCTCTATGGTCTTTGATAATTTTCTAGTTTTTGCCATGCAAAGCTAACTAGCAGCTGCTGCACATTTTCACCCTTCCTGCGCCAATTAGTCCTAACACACACGCAATTCAACACGCACACTCACTCGTGTTCAATCACAAACTAGCCAGGGTGCGGTCAGAGGGAAGGTGAAATGTTCACTAGGCAGCTTCCAGTTTTCGCTAAGCTAACTAGCAGCTACGTCACATTCTAACCCCATGCACACACATTTTGTCCAATCACAAACAAGCGAAGACAAAGGGAGAGGTGAAGAGGTTAAATGTTCACCAGTTCCACTTTTGTCTAGTCGAACCAGCAGCTGAAGCCCACGCCACTTGTTATGCCACAGCTTGTTAATTAGCGTTAGCATGAGAAACTTGTACCATTAGCGGCAGTGTGTCGTCAGCAGCAGTTTGATTTGTTCCAAGTCAAACCACTCACATTCACTTAAGAGTTTACACCAAAGAATGTGTAGTGTGTGTCTACAAAGACAAGTCACTTTTTACTAAAAAGGTGCAGAGTGTCAAGCAAACTCCTTGACAGGAATTACATATATATTTAAAAAAAAAAAATCATACGAGGACCAACCGGAATATTTGTAAGGAAAAAAACAATGTCATCATCCAAGAGGCAACGTCGGCAATAAAAAAATATATTCAGATGAGCGTCATGGCGCTGACATTAGCTTAGCTTGTGTGTAGTGAATAAATAAGGGCAGGGGGCTGGGGGGGCTAGGCATAAATCTCTGCGGTGGGGGCCTTAGTGTAGATGGGCTTCTTGGCCAGCTCGTAGCTTCCTTCGTCTTTCTTTTTCATGCGATGAAGCAGCAGTACCACCAGCAGAACTGCCAATGTCAGGACCACGCCGCCACCGCAGATTAGTCCTGGAAGCAAAAGCACAAGCAAAGTCTCACTGCAGGCTGTGGCTTCTTTTTATCCATTTTTAACCAGTGCATCATAAATAAAAGTGCACCGGTGGCGGGTCTATCCTTGAACACACATGTACACGTTAGATTTAGTATAAAAAAGGCTTGCTGGAGTTTTGACTTCCAACTTCTATTTGATGGAGGAAAAGGACTACGTTACTTGAACGCGAGCACGACAGCACGCAAAAAAAAAAAACGCGGCCAGACACGGAGTGCCCTCACCTGCGAGGACCTCTGTCCTGGAGAAGACACCGTCGCCGTTGGCGGCGTGAGACATCAGAACGTTGGAGGGAAGCTGGTCGCCCGGGCGGGGACCGTTCCGCAACAGAGAGATCTCGTTGTCGTTCACCGTAATGTCCGGCTCCGGGTCACGGCGGATGGTGGGGCGAGATGGGCCGGCCCACTCCGGAATCCTGTTGTCCACGTCGGGACGCTGAAAACAGTATGAGGACAACCGTTAGGGACAAAGTACTCAGCATTATTGGCCGTTCTCAATGCGAGTGACAACGTGAGATGATCACAGCTGAAACATCGCTTTGTCCACTTTACACTCGTTGCCACAACTGACGGGATAAAGAGCCAACCCTTACACTCAATTGTAGTTCGCCATTTGTGAATTCACAGATTTTTCTGGCCACATCCAGTATGGCGCAGGAACTAACATATGTCAGGAAAGGGCCACCCCGCTGAAGGCATTGTCTGCGTCTCTTTCCCTGCATTTTTGACTGGCCTGATGTGTTTCAAGATGGCATTTTTGCATCACTTAAGCTTCAATAAACATGCGCCATTTGGTTTCAAGGTATGCTTCGGCTTCGTGACTATTTCACCCTCAGTTTCAAATGTAAAAGTCAGTCACCCCAAACCCCCAAAAAAGGGGAGAAAGGCAAAATGTGGACGTCCAAAGGTGTTTTGTGGCTTCAAGACTATTTCAGGCCACCCAAACCTGGGGGACGCTTCTGATCACAATTCTACGCCCTGCACGGCACAACATCATCATCATTTACCTCAGTGGGTGGCAGCCAGTCACGTTCAGGAGATGAGCGCTCGTTCTCTGTGGACAAAAACAAAGTTGAAATTGTGCTTCAAGTTTTTAGCTTTGGGCATGAAAACTTGGACAAACCTGCGCCGTTGTCACCCGACCCCGACACCTCATCTTCATAGTCTTCGTCTTCATCTTCGTTTTCCCAGTCATCATAGTAATAGTCATCCTCTTCCTCATCTTCGTCTTCCTCATTGTCCGTGAAACCAAAGTCTCCCGATGACTCCTGGCTGTCGTTCTGGTGGGTCACCGCAGCCTTCAATGGCATCCACGTCTCCGTCTCCCTCACCTATTGGCACACGAGGATGTCGTCAGTCGTTAACCCGTCGTCAACCAAAAACTGCTTATAACCCAAACATCAAACAGTGCCAGTGGTTGAAGAAAATTCGAAAAATCGAGAATAGCGCAAATGGCAGATGACAGGGCCGATGGCCAATTTTCAAGGGGTCCATTAACATTTACTCAAAAATGTTGCTTTCTTTTTTTTTTTTTTTAAATCATTGTTGACCTTGAGTTTAGACCTCAAAGGCAACCCCGCACAACACACGCAGCAACAATAACACCCAACGTGGGCACAAAGTCCTGGCAAAGAACAGTGCAATCCAAGTAGTGGTAATAAATTTAAATCATTTTCATGTCTAGCCTCTTTATAGTGTTTTGTTTAAGACTTAAATAAAATATTGCTTTTGGGTGGTCAGTTGTTTTGAATGTAAAATAAAGACACTAATAACTCAATAATAATTTTAAAAAGTGATGATGTCATTGTATTAATGAAATATGCAGCGGGCCGGCAGAACCAGCATTTGGGAGGAAGGTACACGGCGGGCCAACACAGCTCCCCAGTACGGTGCCATACTGGCCCCCAGGCTGTCGGGCAACCGCCAACGTCGGACCCCGCAGTCATACAAGCGGCGAGGCTGGCTGAGTTTTGGGAATGGTGGGGGATAAAACATCTGATTTGTGTGTAGATAAGAGGAGAACAAGAACACTGAATTCAGATTTTCATCATTCTGGCCTGATTTCAGAGACTTCCATAACATCGCTGTCCATGCTGTCGTGAAAAGGCAGGAAAAGTTCATCACTCAGTCGAGGAGGGCCCAGAAAGTTGCACCGAAAAAAATTTGGCATTCCGAATTTGTGTGAGTGAGTGTGTGAGAGAGAGAGAGAGAGAGAGAGAGAGAGAGAGAGAGAGAGAGAGAAAGAGAGAGAGAGAGAGAGAGAGAGAGAGAGAGAGAGAGAAAGAGAGAGACAGAGACAGAGAGAGACAGAGTGTTCCGTGTCTATAGAGAGGGTCTGTACGGGTCCATTGAGACGCTTCCAAGTGTGCAAAATCCCCCGGAGGGCCACTCAAGGTCAGCGGAGGTCACATTCCACAGCAAAGGAACAAGGCAGAGGAGGGAGCACAAAAGGAGGGAAGCGCCAGGAAGGACGGACCAGTAAGGAATGCGCTGCTGCGATCGTCTTGTTAATCGCCGGTGCTAAGCTAACTGGCTAACCGGAATGGACCTCCATAAGGGGGGCGGTCCTCTTCAAGTATGGGTGTCGGTGGCATCACACTCAGCCTTTGGCCCTCAGTGTACTGCGAACTTCTTAGTCTCACTTTTAACATTATCACACACACTAAACAAACTAAAGTCCTCACAAATCACGCATCTATGTACATGCGTAAACACACAAACACAAACAACAATTCACTCTCGCGCGCACGCCCACGTGAACGTAGGGGATGGCGGAATGAGCAACGTGATTTGAAGAAAAACTTGACTCCTCGGCTACACACACGCACGATTTAAAAACGTACTCAAACACACTGGTCGCTGATGTGACATGGGGGCATAAATGAGTCTGAGATCCCCACCAACAACAACAACCCAAGCCCCCTCCCCCCGAGGGCCCCTTTCATTATAATAGTTCCGCGAACACGCACGTCCAAACAAACAGGTCGGAACGAGCACACGAGCAAAGTTATTGAAAAGTCAATTGAGGCGAAGACGAGTGGCAGCGGGTGTTTGGTTAGGTCGTCAGTCGACGAGCTTCCGGGCTTGCCGTGAGTCCCAGGTAAAGTTAGCACGCTAGCTGAAGGGAAAAAAAGTTTGTCGTGGTTTCCGAAGGCTTTCAGGCAAAAATTGTGAGGGAAAGAGGAAAACAAGTCCGGACAAAAGGCCACGAACGACAAGGTGTGCGGATGAGCGACTTTAACTTACCGACTCGGAGGTGACGCGCAACAACCAAGTGGACAAAAAGAGCAGGAGGCCGAAAGCCAAAACGTTTGCCGAACTTCCAAAAGTTGACATTTTGACTTTGCTTAAATTCTCTCAGCTGCAATCTAAAAAGAAATCACGGCTACGGGAACTCGGGGTTCGTCGCGGCGTCTCAGACTTCAACTTGGTTCAAAAGGGACAGTTATTGTTGTTATCCTCTGCCAACTTTGACGGACGACTTTTGGTGACCGTCGTCTTTTTCCTCTCGTATAACTTGTGCCCTCGCGACTCTCCGCCAATGAGCGGCCAGCAGGGTGGTGACGTCTCCGCTCCATTTCCCGTAATTTTGTCACGGCAATCCCTTTCCCCCCCTCCGCCGCTGACTACGCGATAAAAGTATCCACACGCAAATTCGAATTAGCTTGTTCTTCTTCTTTTATTTTCCTACTTTTTCATTCCAAAATTGATTTCACATACATTCACAAATTCTATTAACTGCGACATGTTACTTTATGACGACAAAAGTCTCAGGAAACAAACTTACCACCAAAAAACAAACAAACAAACAAAAACAAAAAACACGAACACAACAACAATACAATACCAACACCTCCCTATCACATTTGTGACCACCTCACTCCATATTCGGCGATTGTCTGGTTTCCGAAATCGGATACACCAGCCAAACTTCAACACATTCATACAACCGTATGACAAAACAGATATTTAGACTAATACATACATATAAATACACGAAACACACACACACACACACACACACACACACACACACACACACACACGCACACACACACACACACACACACACACACACTCGTCCACACACGCACAGAGGAATTGCCTATGGGGCATTCCAAGAAAACTTGAGCAATTTTTTCGGTTCATCATGAGTCAGTCCCATTTGGTTTTCATTATTTTTTATTTTGGCGGAAGAGCTGCCAACTTCCTGCGGTACGAAAATTCCTGTAGGGACGTCACTTTCCAGTCCAAACTTTCCCTTTTCTTCTCTCAACACGTTCACGTTCCCATTCCATCCTGTTTTGTTGCGTGCTGTCATATGACGCAAGTTTCATCGGGAGAAAATGGCCGCAAGATGATGAGCAGCCTCGAAAACAAACTGGCCATGTAGAAATATATTTTATGAACGGTTATCTTTAGTACTGTCTGTAAAAAAACAGTCAACTACTTCTTCTTCTTGGACACTCCGTTCGTGTGTGTGTGTGCGTGCGCGCGCTGTCTAAATAAAGATGTATTGTTCAATACAGTATTGTATTGTGAGGCGCAGGAGCAGGAAGAGGAAATTGTCGTTCCAAATTGCTTGCCATGATGTCATAACTATGTAGACAGCTGTACTTCCTCCTTGGAAATTTAGCCGTCCTTCCAATAGCTAAGTCGTCGACTTGTGTATATTGCCTATTTGTTTTGAGGTGACAAAGTTTGTGTTCGTCAAGGCTGCCCCAGGGCACATTTGGGACCAACGGATACATAGAATTTCCATTCATTTTGATCGGGAAAGATGATTTGAGAGACATGGGTTTTGAGATACATCATACATTGATCTACCCTGGATCCATCAGGAAATGACCAATTCATTCATTAATTCACCACTTATTCATCATCCATTTGCAGCTGTTGTGAAAGCGCTATACTGTATCAATACAATATTGTATTGTATATCCATCATCCAGCCACCTCTTCATTCATCCGTTAGTAATCCAAGCATTCAGCCAAATCCAACATGTGCCAACACGTAAGCATCCAGCTACACAAACACATCCGGTACTGCAACCAACCAAGCAACATCACACAAAAAGCATCCACTGAACTGTCCAAACATCGCGCGCCGACTCACCTTCTATCCACGATCACACAGTGTCATTGACTGACCAGCAGATGGCCTCCACGTCTCTTTTCTCTCTCTCTCTCTCTCTCTCTCTCTCTCTCTCTCTCTCTCTCTCTCGTTAATTCAAGCTGGTGCTTGAGGATGAGGATTTTTTTTTTTTTTTTGCTTGAGAATGAGGATGTCCATCCTTGAAGTATAGTGAGTGACGTGTGGGCCGCCAACGAAATGGCACTTTCTTTTCTTTTGGGGTTTACGACTGGAGTATCTTTTTTCCCCCCTTGCCATTCTCTGTCTCAGCCTCTTTTTTACAATCCACGAACGATTGGCCATTGCGCTCGGCGAGGGAGGCCAATGAGACGGCACAAACGCAAGTCCAGACAGCCACAAGACCAGTCGAAGAGAGCAAGAAGCAGCAACGCCAATGCTGTCAAGGAAAAATCCAGTTAAGAAAAAGAGTGACAGGCAGCAGGTAAAGCATTCAAATGTGCATGGACACATTTCAATTTCGTTGACAAAAGAAGCCTTTCGAGCTGCAGTAATGGGTGTATGAAGTCCGTGGTATTGATTTATCCACACTCTTATGAGTGTTAATTGGGTATAGACTTTGCTCATTAAGTATTAACATTAATTAATAAATTTAAAAAAAATCCATGAGTCACTTGTGTGATTATCCCAGCTAAGCTAATGTAAGCTTTCAAGCTTAAACTATCGTGGATAGTCTTTCACAGTGATGTTTGAGAATGTACTTTATCATCATGTCCATAGTACCTGGAGAAAACCCATGCAGGCATGGGGAGAACATGCAAACTCCACACAGGAAGGCCGGAGCCGGAATCGAACACCGCACCTCTGCACTGTGAGGGTGACGTGCTAACCAGATTAAAAAGTAATAACAACAATAATAATAATGAAAAAAAAAATGATGCGGCTTAGTGACCGAGTGATTCACATGTCCGCCCCACAGTACAGAGATCCGGGGTTTGAATCTGGGCTCTGACGTTCCTGTGTATGTTGTTAAAATATTTCCTTTTCACCAAATACTGCATGATTTTTATATTTTCTTAGAACATCCAGTACTTTAAAAAAATTAAGATCGACCCTCATGAGGATGATCAGAACAGATAATGGGTGGATGAATGGAGCTCTAAAATTTTGGGGGTGCTTGGATTCTGTTTCGGGGTGCTGCAAGACCCCTAAAAATGGGCTAGACAGGGTGACCATAAACATCCTAATTCATAGCCACAGTATATAACACGTGGAAAAAAGGCTTACTTAAGAATACGCTTTCCCCCCCAAAAAAGGAACTTGGCTGCTCTTCCACCAAAATAAATTACGCTGGAAAAAATCGGTAAAAAAAAAAAAAAAAGCTCTCTCTCTCTTTCTCTCTCTCTCTCTCTCTCTCTCGTTCTCTCAGCCCCTTCCTTTTTCTCCTTGTCCCTCCCTTTTTTTGGCACCTTCTGCGTTTGTGTCTCTCTTGGGCGTTCACATCACTCTCAGCCGGATGGACTGCAAGGACCGCTTTGGCCACTCGGTCCCGTTTGTCCACTTTGTCTGGTGTTGCCGTCGCCATGGCTACCAGCAGCAGCTGCTAGGATGAAACTTTGGGTCTCTTGTCTCTTCTTTGCGCTCACGTGCCGGACGCCACCAACAGAACTGGTGGGAACGGTCACCATGGAGAGCGGCATAAGGAGGGCGGCCGGTCACCAGATTGCCATGGGAGATGGAAGCCTGACATCGGTCAAGGTGACGCCGCATGACTACATGATGTCGTTGTATCAGATGGGATCCTCTGAAACGGCGCGACGTAACTTCAGCATGGACGCCGACACCGTCACCAGCTTTGTGGACTCTGCTCGAGGTCGGCCATTTGCTATTGCGCCCTCTCGGTCTGTTCGCCTTCATTTATGTGCTTGCCACTTCCATTCACGTTCTTTATCTCAATTGATGAGCTCCTTCACTCCATTCATGTGTTCATCACACCCATCCACGTTCATCATGCCAATTCATATGTTCATCGTGTCCATTCAGGTGCTTGTCACGTTCATTGACATTCATCATGTCCATTTAGGTGTTCTGCTACATCAATTAATGTGTCCATCATGCCCATTCATGTGCTCAACACAGCCGTTCGCGTTCATCATGCCCATTCATGCATTCATTCCATCTTTTCACATTCGCCATCTCCATCGATGTGTCCGCTCATATCCACTCACATGTCCATTCACGTGTCCAAGGTGAAGGTGACGCCACGCGCCCGTCCGGTGGCTTCCTTTCAGCTCCTGATGCAGGGTGTCAATGCTAGGCTAACAAGCTGACGTGTGCATGTACATACTTGTGTGTGTGTGTGTGTGTGTGTGTGTGTGTGTGTGTGTGGGTGGGAGTCCCACTTTTGCTCTCCGGCGCCGCCCTCAGGGGAAAAAATAAACTTTGTCCGTCACGCCCCTACGACCCTCGGTCCCTCCCCCACCTGGCTCAGAAAACTTGTGGTGACTGCGGCCGCCAACGTTTACGTTCCTTTTAAATTTAGCTTGTGTTTGTTTAAAGCATCTCAGCTAGCGGCTAGCCGCCATTGAGAAACCGCTAGCTCGAAAGCCAGAAGAAGTTCACTTGTTGCTCCCAATGGAAACAACTGAAAAGCTTGGGCGCATTTCATTGTTCCTTAAAAGTGTGCATGACACACCTACAAGGCTTTTTATTACTTGAATTACAAATGGGGAAATGGAATGAGGGCGACCAGTCCCTTGTTGGTCCACAAAGGCCGTGGCATTGGCTGGCAACCAGTCCACCGTTTGTCTATATGTACCTTGATGGTGACTAGTGACCAGCACTGTCTTGTAGTCTGACCAGAAAATGTTTTATGCTCCCCATACAGATGAGCTTGGGTCGGTCCTGTGGTATCAGCGGTATCAGTTCCAAATCTCGTCTCTGGACCAGGATGGACTTGTGGGAGCAGAACTTCGAATCTTGAGGAAACGCTCAGCCCGACAAGTGGCAGTAGGCGAGGCTTGCTGGTTGAACCTCTACAGCTGCGGGTCGGGCCCACAGAAGGTGGTTCTGATCCAGACCCTGGCGGCAGCCCCACTGGACCCACCCAAAGGAAAGTGGGAGGTCTTTGATGTCTACCGTGCCGTCAAGGCCCTTAAGAAACCCAGTCAACAGAACCAGAACCAACTCAAGCAACACAACCAACAGAAACGATCCAACCAGAAACAACACAGCCAGCAGAACCAATACAGCCAAAACAACCACCAGAAACAGAAACACCATGTCCAGGAGCAAGAGAAACAGCACCCCAATTCTGAGCCAGAGAAAGAGTTGTCCCTGTGTTTCCATCTGGAGGCGGTGGAGAGTGGAGGGGGCGGGGCTGCTGACCTCCTGGGTTTGGGCTTTGGCAGGGCCGGGCGGGCCCAGAAAGAGAAAGCCTTCCTGCTGGCCTACAGCCGCAGCGATCGGGGGCCGGACGCGCCGGACGACGTGTTCTACAAGGAAATCCGGGCCCGCTCGGGCCACGCCCGCAAGAGCGTCTATGAATATCTGAGGGCGCAACGACGGTTGCGAAGAGCCCCACATGCTCGGCCTCAGAGCCCACCCCTGCACTGCCGGCGCGTCCGCCTGCACGTGGACTTCCGGGCCCTGGGCTGGGACGACTGGATCATCGCTCCGCTGGACTACCAGGCCTTCCGCTGCGACGGGTCCTGCGATTTCCCCTTGCGTTCGCACCTGCAGCCCACAAACCACGCCGTGGTCCAGACACTGCTCCACGCTATGGCTCCGCCCGCCGCCCCGCCCGCCTGCTGTGTGCCCACTCGCCTCGGCGCCATCAGTGTCCTTTATGTGGACGTGCACGACAATGTGGTCTATAGGCAGTACCGCAACATGGTAGTGGACGCTTGCGGCTGCAGGTAGAACGTTCGAGCGCCTTGAGCTACGACTGACTTTCCAAATACCCGCCATGGATCTGACCTTTTTCTTTTTCTTGCCTTGACTTGAGAGACGAACGCTATATTCATGTTAGTATGTGTGTGTGTGTGTGTGTGTGTGTGTTTGTGGCCATCTTGCACATTTCACATTTCCTTTTATGAGAGTGTATTATTGTACAATATATGATTGCTCTAATCATTAAAGTTGTAAAAAAATAAATACATAAATAAAAATCTAACTTTGGAAGGTTTTCATTTCAAGGGACCCATACTTCAGCCACTTGTACTAAATCTTTCACATCAGAAACAAAAAAGACGTTTACTTAAAACAAGAATTTATGGATTATTTTTTCTGCCACTTCAGCAGCATGTGTGTGTGTGTGGGGGGGGGGGAATGTTTATGTGGGTATGTTTATGTGGTCAGACATCCTGGATTCGGACAGTCTCCAGTTGAACCCTTTGGCTCGGGTCCATGAAGATATTTTGTCGGAGTGGGCTGTCTGAGTGTGTATTTAATTTTTAGACTGGAGCAATGCTGCTGACATTTAAAGATGAGCCCTGAACCCACATTGAAAATGCTTTTGAAATTGTGGTTCAACATGGATCAAATATACACACAAAATCCTCCTCTGGCCACAAATTCAATGTCATGTGAAGAGCTCTGAAATTGTGTGATGTCATCGTTTTCGGGAGCTCTGTGATGTCACACCAACAAACATGAAGAAGTCAACAGTATCGTGCAGCAACTCGCATGCTTGCGTGTGTGTGTGTGTGTGTGTGTGTGTGTGTGTGTGTGTGTGTGTGTGTGTGTGTGTGTGTGTCTGCGTGCGTGCGTGCCTGCGTACCTGCGTGCGTGTGTGTGTGTTTGGGTCAAATGCAACTGTGATTGCAGCTGCGTGTTAGATCATGAGTTTGTTCAGCAACCTGGCATGTTGGCTTCCGTCACAAGGTGTTAGCTATAACATTAGCCAGCTGAGGGTTGGGGGGTGATGAGTGTTATCCTGTGTGTGTCTTGTCGGGTGCAGGTGGGTGTGTGTTTGGGTTTGGTGGTTGGCAAAAGTAGGAGTTGATGGTGAACTTTGAGGAGTAATCAAAAGAGAAGAAAGCCCTACCAATGTTCACCACACAATAATAATAATATCACAAAGGGCAGTCAAAAGGTAATTCATTAAGCTAGCAATTTTGTACACCAGAAATGTTCAACATTTGTTGTCGAAATAATTGTTTGAAGGTTTATTGCCAAAATATAGTGTTAAAGCCTGTCTTCTTCCTGTCAGTCATGTTGGAAATGACGTTTGTTGATTGGCCATCAAAAGCTGAGAACTTTACAATTAACAAATTGAGAACATTTCAGGGGGGAAAAAAACTCATTAGTAGCTGTAGACTAAATTAAATTGGGCTCATTTTTCACTGCCTCTCGTAATTAATATTGCGACTACTACTACCACCACGAACAACAACAAATCTTTGGAAAAAGAACGAACAAATAAAAATGAAGAAAGACAACCAGACTGAAAATATAGAAAAAGAAAATAGATTAAGTAAGGAAAGAAACGCGAGCTAAGAGAGTAAATCAGCCCATCAGTAAAGAAAGTTAGAAACAAATGAAGAAGGGATAAATCATTGCAAACAAAGACACAAAAGAAACGAGTGAAGGTAAATACACAAAAAATAAGAGTGAAGAAAAAACAAATGACGGGAAAGAAGGGGAAAAATGAAGAAAACATAAATAGAACATAAAGAAAGAAGGTAAAAAGAAGATTGAAAAGAGGTAAGCGGACAGTCGGATGTAGGACTTTAGTTGCCGGTCGGACGCAAGTGCGTGTGGAACACTCAAATCAGTTGAGTTGACATTGACTGCGAGCGACGCTGAGCAGCTGTTAGCCTCCGAAAGTTCGGCACTGCTCGGCCGTGGTTTCCGTGCGGGTCATGTGGGCCCTGTGGCTCGCGTCCCGGCGGCCGCTGCAGTCTGCCGTCAGAACCGTCGGAACCGACCTCCTGTCCCACAAGGTTAGCTTCGTTAGCCTAGCCTCGCTTCTATACGTAACGTCTGACTGGACGTTTCATCGCCATGATTCACTTGAGTTTCCATCAAAGGAATCCGGGTCATGTAGTTGTGACAATTCGTGTTGATTCGGGTGTCATTGGGATGCACTGATTCGTTCAATGGCTCGTCGCCACAAGTGTCTCTTCAAAGACTTGTCAAAGAAGACTTGTACCAGTTGCATCTATGCTTATATACAGTATATCTATATCTATATTTATATTGCACTTATATTGAACTGTGTACAGCTCTCTTTATCTACATTTATTTTTGTGCCTGCAAACACTTTGTTTTTCTTCTTTCTATCCCCCAAAATTGCTGCTGTAGACTGTAAATTTGACTGTAAATTTCCCCAGTGTGGGACAAATAAAGGATATCTTAAAGACGACGCAGGCAGATGTTAGCAGTTTGACGTTCAGCATCAATCATGTAGACGCGCACCTCCAATTGCAAAGGCGATCCATTTACATGAAACCGCCGGCATTTTCAGACAGGTGGTTCTAAGACTACTCCAGTGATACAAATATATATATATATATAAACCTTCCCCAGCATCACGTTCCATGGTAGTTATTAAAAGTATTCCAATAATAGTTTTCCAAGAGAACCACTCTCCTTGTTTACGTGTTTGTGTGTGTCTTGCTCTCTGTTCATTCGTCTGCAGGTTTCCCAGCAGGTGTCTTCTGTCAGCAGACCCTGTGCGGTCCCCTTGACGACAACATGGTGGCGCCCGCTGCACCTGAACACACAGGTGTCGTCATTGCGAGTGTGTGTGCGCGCATGCATGTTGAACAACAATAGGATATGAAAGTTGTGATGTAATTCCAGATGGAAACGGGGTCGCTTTACTAATTGGCATCTTGCACAGGCTGGTTCAAATTAAAATCAATTTGATTTTATCTGATTATGAGAGTGCGACATTTCGTCAGTGATGGTGTGGTGGTCGACTGGCTCGCATGCTTGGAGTTATTGTGATTAGTGTGCCAATGCTTGTGTGTCTGCTCTTTATTGGGGGGGGGTTGGGCGGTGGGTCAAATGGGATTCGATCTAAAGTGAGCAATGTCGCCTGAATGTTCTGTTGCCCTGGTAACAACACATGGGCAACTTACACACCTGGTAAAGATGTCACAGTACAAAAATGGAAGAATGAGTGGTGGGAGAAAGAAATCCAGTAAGCAATATAGAAGTGAAAAAAAGTTGACAGTGCGATTTGTGTGTGCGTGTCAGATGTGCAGCGTGAAGGAGACGCCGGCGCCCACCGAGGAGGAGGTTGGCGGTTTCACCAAGCTGATTGAGGCCATGGGTTTCACAGGACCCCTGAAGTACAACAAATGGGTGAGGTGGTGTGTGGTTTGTGTGTGTGTGTGTGTGTGGAGGGGGGGGCACATGCTCCCATACTTGAAGCAATCCGCAAACGAAGGAGTCATTGTGTTGTGTGCAGAAAATCAAGATTGCAGCCTTGCGCATGTACACGTGCTGCGTGGAGAGGGTCAACTATGACGACTTCTTTGACAGTGCGTACTTCCAGTGGCCAATGGGGTGCCACTTCTTGGACAGACCTATCTTAGAAAGCCACGCTAACGCTGCGCTTCTGTCTCAGGGTGCTCGCTGCCTGACACGCTCAACTCTTGGTTCCTGGTGGCGCAGCTGCATGTGTGGTAGGATTGCAACATTAATTCATGATGCACAAACTACATTCTATTCAATTGATTATCTCATCACTCCGTTTTGACAAAGCAAGCACTATAGTATAAGAGCTAGTGTGTTTTTTTTTTAATTTTATTTATTTTAGTTTTTGTGGGGCTGAAACAGATTAATGACATTTGCATTCATGTCAATGGGAAAGGATGATTTGTGCTGAGTGTTAGTTGAGAATGTGGTCATGGAAGCAATTCAACTCCTGTGTCAAGTGTGTGCGATTGGTGGCTTATTGATACATTGCCTGCTGTGGATTTTCCGACAGGATGTGTCTGGTGCGGATGCGTCAGGAGGGCCGAGCGGGCAAGTACATGTGTCGCTACGTCGTTCACTCCATGTGGGAGGACGTCGAACAGCGCAGCAAGATCATGGGGGTGAGTGAAGTGAGTGAGTGGCATTTGTTGTTTGACGCCGCCGTCGAGGTTAGCCCACGCGTGCAAACGGGACACGGCATCGGCACAAGTTGCAAGCACTTGTGGCGGCTGGCCAACTGCCGACTCGGCAACTTGAACACGTGATGCCAATGATCCATGTAGCCTAGCATGTTTTGCAGCGCATACAGTTTGACATGTCGTGGCCCACGCCTCTGCAACTGTGTAAACATCGTCATCCAACACCGAAAGCAAAATAAGTCCAACCACTGAAAGTTGTTTCATGCGTTGAGCAAGGTCAATAAAAGTACAAAGTCGATGGAAAAGCATAGAGGACATCCCAAAATATTAAAAGGGACATTTTGAAGTAAGGCAGGGTGACAGGGCATGAAAATGAAAATCTGATGTCTTTTTTTTTTTTCTCCTTAGTTGCTTGAAATGGCAAATGCCAAGTTTTGCTTATTCCTTTTTTTTCCCCTTGCGGGGCTTTGATTTTCTCCACTTTTTTTCCCCCTGCAGTCACCTTGCATCAACTTCCACAAAACATTGTAGATTAATATTTACTCATGTCTTAATTTATTTAAATTGTGTTCCAATTGCGATATCTGTTGACCGCTTTGTTTTTTTAAGGGTTTATTTGAATAATGTTGAGTTAAAATATGAAATATAAAAATACACCATCCTTAATAAATTCACATTTTAAGCAGTCAACAATTTGACACACTTTCATCTTTGGAAATTATATTTTTTTAAAAAAACTGTCAACATTTGAGGCCACCTGCTGGTTGGATGCACATTTTGCCTCTGAAGAGCGCCACCATGAGGAGAGCTCCAGTTATGTCATTGAGGTGATGATGATATTTGTTTGTCTGGTTGCAGATCGATGCCATCCATCGAAAGGAAGCCCTCAAAGCCATGACCGAGACGTTCTACGCCGCTTTGTTTGGATACGACGAGGTCAGCCTCGCTCCCGCTGTTTGAGTGTGCGTCCGAGCGTGCGTTTTTAAATGTTCATACATGCATCTGTGCGCAGGGCGTCCTGTCCAGTGACTGCATCCTGGCCGCCGCCCTGTGGAGAAACTTGTTTAACTGTCAGTGTGAGGACTCTGCCCAGCTGGAGCTCATGGTGGAGTACGTGCGCAAGCAGGTGCGTCGGTGTGTGGGTGCTTATGCGTGTCAGGCGTCATTTGATTGACGAGTCATTTCGCAGGCTTGCTTCAGTCAACTGTCGGTATTGATTGTTCAGACGGTCTTTGATTTTGGAAAAATGCGATGCAAATGGCACTATTTTTAAATCATCCACTGTGTGAGAACAATCGGTATGTTTGCAAACAAATTCCCAATAATAACAGTATTTGTTTTCCCCAAAATAGGGAAGTTGTTTTTCTTCAAATGCATTGTTCCACGTGCTTGAGTGCCTTTGCAGGGTGTACCAAACGCCTCCCAAGATCATCGAGCCTCTTTTGCAACTGCCTTCCCTCCTCATCAAGCTTTTGCTTATGGACGGTTGTCAGTCGCGTTGCTGGGGAGGCTGGGGTGGGCCGTTTGTGGCCCAATTTTCTCTCCTTTGATGCACCCCAGCATGCGGAGGAATTTCTTGTGCCTTGTCATGCATCAAGATGATTCTGCTCAGCAAAGTTCTCCTCTTCCTTTTGTAGTCAGTGGCAAACTCCCAACTGTTTTTGCCAGGTTGTTTTCACACCTTCGGGGTGCTGAAAGGGGTCGAGCAGAACCGCTCTTCCCCCATTATCCTTGCAGCTCCGAAGGTGACTCGCTAGCTGACATTGAAACCCTGTTGGGACATATGCTGGCCATCCACCAAACAGTTGCCATATGAAATGTGGTTTATAAACAAGCTCCCTTTCCTTGCCTATTAAATGTTTTGAAATACTGCTGTGCATAATCATCTGCAACAGTGCATTTGAACAAAAACTGTTTGTATTTTTGGGGAGGAAAAAAAATTCCAATGTTTCTCAAATAGTTCATGACTTGAAAATGATGCTGAGTTCTATTTGCAGAGACTATAAAAATCTGAGACAGACATTTGCATAATAATTTCAGCATTTGGTGTACATCAGAGGAGCTGGAGGAAGTAGAGCGTTACGGTCACTTTGATGCCATTCAAGACACTGACCCAATCTGCGTTGGCATGTTTTTGCGTTTTTCAGATGCAGTTCATTGACTCTTTGGACGGCGAAGACTTACTTCTGACTGGAGAAGTCAAGTGGCGCCCCCTACTGGAGGAGAATGCTCAGAGCATCCTGAAAGTGGCCACGCCCACATACAATGACGCTGGACTCTGACTTTCTGTCTCCATAGAAACAACAATCCTTGTTTGTTTTCACGTTTACGCCGCCGCTGACCACACTGTGGGGCCCTCGCTTTTGTGGGAAGGGATGTCATTGCTCCAATGTCATAAGTCTAATGTAACTTGTTCTGACGAAGTGAATTCGAGGATTTTTTTTTTCACATTTGTTTTGTCTTTCCGACGCCTCATTAGGTGTGTGTCTGTCTGTGTGTGTCAAATAAAAAGTTCAACTGACAGTCCGGTTATGCCCTGTCCATGTTTACATTCTGTAAAATGTGTAAAATCCCTTCCTCTTCACCTGCATGAATGGAGAAGAGAACCATCACATCGCTTTGGAAACTATAAATGGTTATTTATTTATTTTTTTATCACATGTCACCATAGAGCCACCAAAGATGACAGCCAATGTTTAGGCTTAATTTACATATATCGCTTGCGTTGGTACAAAACCTGTCAAGCCGATGAATTCTATTTTTTTCTTCCTATCTATAGTACTGTATTTTAATATTGGCCAGTCCGCATGTGGGGGTGTTTTTATTTTTACAAATTGACCAATCTGTCGAAAATAGCTTGCTTTCTTTAGCGATTCAATGTTATTGTGAAAACGAACGTGGTGTTTTTGGGGTCTCATGAAAAATGAGGATTTTGTAGGTAAGGAGGGTTCACCTGATGCTAGCGATATATTTGTATAATATAGTGATCTGTTTATTAAAATTGTGTCTGAAGACACCAGTCATATTTTTTGTAAGTTCGGCTTCAAAACTATCTGTTTTTTATTTTGCTTGTTTGGACCCCTGTCTGCAATAAATAATTACAAGTTTCGGTAAGAATGTTTTCCATCGAGACGTCACTGTTACGTGCGATCCTGTATGTGACGTAATTTTTCAGGAGATACAGTGGCTGTCCTGGCACGACATTGCTGTTAGTTCGACTGATGTATTCCATTTCTGACCACTGGAGGAGACAAGTTGTAACTGTGGACAATAAAAGAAGAAAAAGGGAAGACGAAGAAGTCCAACTCGGAAGTTACAATATTTCTTGGTCTCTGTTCTTGCAATTTATCACGCAAATCTTTTTAACTCTTTACAGCCGAGCCCTCGAAATGGTAAGAAATGATAATGCTGACATAACGCACTTAATGCCCCAAGTTAATATTCATTTGTCGATGTCAGGAGCATCGTGAGAGTAGTAGGACCTAATGCTGCTAACACGAAGTGACGTTTTGTTTGTGACGGCTTGGGCGTTGTCATGTTAGCACGATGTTAACCTAAAAAATGTTAGCACACTGAGATCATCTTTCTTTCATCCGAAGTGACCGTTTTGAAGTAGCGAAAGCAGAAGCACATCACGTGACTGCAGGATCCTGATTGAGATTGTTCTGCCGCATTGGTTGTAACATTGTCTTATTCTAATTCAACGACAATGGTCAAATGTTAATGATATACCATAAGTCGAAGTCATTATGTCACCCAATTGATTTGACAAATTCACGTAAACTTTTTGGTAGCAACGCACTGATTAAACACTCTACACATGAACACAAAACCTTGTGCCTGATCGCATTCTTCCAGACATTGGGTCTTAATGGGCTGAATATGACAGGATGGTGAAGGGTGGAATGCAATATATTTACAAACCCTCTGTCAGCCATGTGTCCGTGTTGGTGGCTCATATTAGCAGCCGCGAGTGCCCAATACGATACTTGCTAACGGTCTTTGTGATACCGATTCTTGTTGTATTTGTTCATCTCTAAAATGTAATAATGATTAATATTGAGTGTGGTAATTTGAATTACAGTTCTAGTATGACCAAACATGCATACTAGATTGGACAAAATAAATTGTTGCGGTGGATTTTCAAGGCTAAAGGTGACTGACGTAAGAAGGATGCTCAACAAGACTAAAAGGTTGTACCTGGAGGGCAAGTCAAAATTTTGACCTAAAATCAATTGAAATGGTGCTAAATGTTGTGCAGGTTTTTTCAACGTACGTTTGGATTCAATGTTGACTTCCTCTGTGTTTGTTGTTGTTGATCAGGCTGAAGTGGAGGAGACTCTCAAGAGAATTCAGGCCCAGAAAGGAGTTCAGGGCCTTATCATCGTCAACTCGGATGGTGAGATGACAGCGATGAAGCGACCGCAACCGCGTTCTCCCTAATCGCTATAAAGGGGATTTGGGTGTAATGAACCTTCATACTTCCTGAAAATACTAGCCCACTCAAAATCTCGTCCTCGTGATTGGGGAGAAGGCAGTCACAGTTGCATTCACTCATCAGTACCCATGAGAATAGAATAGAATGAATTGAAGGTTGCTCCGTCTTTGTCCAATAGGAAATAAAAGAGGAAATACAATTTTAAAGTAGTTCCAACAAAGGATCAAAAGTAATGCAAGAAGATAAAGTGGTGCCTTGAAATAGAAGTTCCTTGACCACCCTCGCCATTGCTCACATCCCTGCTTTTGCAAATTCTTTTTCCACTGAATGAATGGAAATTCCCTACCAGCCATCCCTTAAAAAAATTGTTGAGAGGTGTATTTTAAGGAAGAAAAATGGTATACAAAGCTAAAAAACAAACAAACAAAAAAAGCTTAGTTTTTAATGAACCCATACTAATATCGTCATCAAGATATCTGAGTCAAAAATATGGAGAAAAGAAATGTACATATCGCACAGCTGTGCTCTTCAAAATGGTTCATATCTCAAAAGACGATGGCTCATATCGAGGTAGCGCTAACGCAGTTGGCTGAAAGTAGCGATCGAGCGTTCTCTCACGCGTGGGACAACGGCCGGGCGAGCAGGTGGCAAATGCGGGAGTGTGTCAACTTGTGTTTGTCCCAGGGATTCCCATCCGCTCAACGCTGGACAACACCAGTACGGTGCACTACGCAGGCTTGATCCATCAGCTGGTCATGAAGGCGCGTAGCACCATCCGTGACATCGACCCTCTCAACGACCTCACGTTCTTGCGACTGCGATCCAAGAAGAATGAGATCATGATCGCACCAGGTCGGTCCGCATGCGGCAGTTGTCACCGCTGCTGCCATTGCCGGCGCTAACGCGTCACCTGCTTTGTTTTATGCAGATAAGGACTACTTCATGATTGTCATCCAGAACCCGTCAGACTGAAGACCAATGACCACTTTCCTGTTTTTAGCATCGCAAAGAAGAAAACGTGAACATGTCACGTTGATCAGCAAGTTATTTCACTATTTTTTCCTCCTTTTGTTGCCAGATTGTTATCGTCAGCATCAAATGTTTCCAATAAATGTTGTGAACATTTGTCAGCATTTTGTTTGTCTTGTCCTAGCTCTCTTTGGGCAGTACATGGGGTACACCCTAACTGGTTGCCAGCCAATTGCAGGGCACACATAGACAAACACCCATTCACACTCACAATCACACCAAGGGACAGTGTCGAATGTGTCGAATTAACTTACCATGAATGTTTTTGGAATGTGGGAGAAAACTGGAGTACCCGGAGAAAACCCACACGAGCATGGGGAGAACATGCAAACTCCACATAGAAAGCCGGAGCTGGAATTGAACCCGGTACCTCTGCACTGTGACAACAGTTGACCGCTGTGTCATTCATCCATCCATCCATTTTCAGCATCACTTATCCGGAACATTGTCAGAGAGAGGTGCTGGACCTTATGCTAGGTGACTTCGGGCAGAAGTCAGTTGCAGAGCACATATAGAAACAAACAACCATTCACACCCACAATGAGTGGGAACTGATCCCACGCTGCCCACAAGTCAAGGAAGTGCAACAATCCACCATCAGCGACCAGTGGAAAACATGCAAGTATTTTTTTCGTTGCGGGTGCGTGACATCATGTGGAAACTTTGATTCCAGCTACAACTCGTGAATTTGTCTTGTCAAAAATCATACAATAGCCCGGAAACCTGTCATTCATTTTTTTTGTATGATGCATCTTGGGATGTACTTGACGTTCAAGTAAAAATGTAGAACTCCCTAAAGCTGATCAAGAAAAACAGAAAGGCCGTGAACAGCAGAATTTACTTCACTAAAGCACAAAAACAACTTTTATTTCTGTCTTCCTATTTTATCACATTGTCTAATCGCTGCTCCCATGGCAGCAATGTTAACATTTTTTGGAAATGAATTGTTGTCATGATCGTATTGTTGTGACTATATTGTTATCCTAAGCATGAAAAAAGGATTTGTTGTGGTGGCATGAAAGCCAAAAATGCCTGATTCCGAAGCCCCGCCCACGTTGGTGTTGCAACAAAATGGCGTCGGTGTCATTTACATGGAAACGCTGACGTCATTTGCGTATCGGTGTTTATGTAGTTTGCGGTAAACGAAAGGTTGCTTGCTTCTTTTTTCCCTCGTTGCTCGAGCAAGGTGACTACAAAGTGTTCCCAAGCTGCCGCAAACGTCTTCTTGCACGATGCCGTCTGACAGAACCTTTAAGCAAAGGAGGACTTTTGGTGAGTGGAAAAGCAAAACAAGCCAGCCGGCGAGCTGGTTAGCCCGTCGGCCTATTTGTCACAACAGTGCTCAGATTTGTAGTGTTTGGATTTCACTCGAAAGCCTTTTGTCATACATTTATAGCCTCATAAGTGGGGCAGTTAGTCTAGTCTAACCTAGCCCGTGGCAGCTTTGGGTGGTGATTTGAACGGGGGGGGGGGGGGGGGGGGGGGTTAACGAAAACAAACAAGTAAACCAACCTAACCTAGAAGTGAAAGGGCTCTGATGTCAAACTGCTGAAAAGTGCAACAAAATGAATTCTCCTAATTGTTGTACTAATGGTGTTGTGTCGAAAATGTGGTCACCAGCTGAGCGATGCAAAGAAGTGCAACAGATCCGAAAACAACATCCCAACAAGATCCCTGTACGTACCAGCATTCACAATGACACAATTATCACACATGCGATCCGTGTACATTTTCCAGCTCTGTGTGTCTGTTAGGTGATCATGGAACGTTACAAGGGCGAGAAACAACTTCCTGTTCTTGATAAGACCAAATTCCTGGTCCCAGACCACGTCAACATGAGCGAGCTGGTCAAGATTATCAGGTATGCACACGCCTGTCAAGTTCTTTTCTTGTGGTATACGTCAGTGATGAGGGCACAAACTGCACCTTTTGCTTCACAAGCTGTAATGCAGAAGGCTCATTTCCAGCTGTGTTTTACAATAATTTATTGTATTGATTAATGGAAGAATCAGAAAAAAATGTCACGACAGATTATTGCTGAAGTCTTCCCCTCTCAATGCCTGTTTCTTAATCGATAATTGTTACTTGTATGGTTTTGTTTAATGATGAAGTAAACTAAACAGCAATAGTGCAATATTACGTGAAAGGGAGTGATGTATTTCACAACCAATTTGTAAATCAGAGTGACTTGTTGGCTACTGATTGATGCCAAGGAAAGACAACTAGTTTGCACTAGTGTACTCATGACGCTGCTTCGGGTTCAGCAACATGCCAATGACATGTTATTTGTACTGTGGTTGCCAATAAGTTCCATATTCCTAACAGATTCAACTGTCTCATTTTTGCCCTCATGATCCAGTTGCTGGTTAACATCCGTCATAAAATCGGCAAAAATGTTGCTGATTGTTTTCCAAACGCAAAGCAGATGTTTGCAAATGTCTTATTTTGAAATAACATTGAAATGCTTTCAGGGAGGACTTGTGAAGTTGGAGATTTAGAGGCTGAAATTGGTGGATTTGGACAGTTCGAAATTAAGCAATGTCTCAAGACGGTTCATCGCTGATCAAAATAGGTGTCGGTTACTTTGACATTGAGTTGATCAGTTTTTTTTTTCTTTACGCATTTGTGGTGGTCGGCAACCTATGCTGATGCTAATTGGGTGAGCGTTCCTGTTGAGAAGCGCTAACTTGAGCCACCCACTCTCACACAGGCGTCGTCTGCAGTTGAACCCCACGCAGGCCTTCTTCCTGCTGGTCAACCAGCACAGCTTGGTTTCCGTGGCGACACCCATCTCTGAGATCTATGAACAGGAGCGCGATGACGATGGCTTCCTATACATGGTGTATGCCTCTCAGGAGACCTTTGGCCACGCTCACCACTTTTAAGCTTTTATTTTGAAGGATCGCAGGAAACAGCTGGCACATTCACACAAAAGCTTGCCTGCGTTTCGATAGCACTAGTGTACTTTGGGTTTCCCAGAAAGCAAACAAAAGGTCTGCAAATAGTCCTGATGTGCTCTCAATTTCCTGCTAAACATTAAGTGGAGCACTTTGTGTCGTCTTGCAAACGGCAACGGGTTGGTTGGATGTTCTGCTGGCTGGTGGACGAGGACTTGAACAAGAAGGCTTCATTTTTAGGAAATGCAATTTTTGCAGTAGTTGGAAATCAGTTAGTTCTCATGCTTACATGCACATACAATGTTTATCTGACACACACGTGAGCGACCCTTTTTTTCTTTGCATGCAGACAAGCTATGGTCAAATGTGAGCTTAGTTTGTCTTGTCAACCTTCAAGTTGACTCAAACGTTAACAGGACCAAACGAGTGTATTTTGTCTTGTTTCATCCTCGCCAGGAGCACTACAAACCTCACATGTCCACTGTTTTTTTTATGTACATTTTACTCTTAAAACTGTTGAAAAATCTGTAAACCAAAAGGTGAAAGGCGGCTCATGTGTTTCAATGATGTCATGTTGTATTTAAGTGTTGTAAATAAGGCCTTAGCTTGAAGCTAATTAAAAAGTTGAGGAAATGGTCAGTTTGTTCTTGTTTTTATTGCCATTAAAAAGACTCAAAAAGCCTCAGGGGGAGGTCTGCATTTGGTGAAAATAACTATGTATAAAAAAAAAAAAAATCTGATAGGGTGTGATGACATCTCAGCATATCGGTGCCATTATTTGAAGTGAGGTCAAACTAAATGTGTGTTTCTCAAAAGTTGAGTGAAGACTGTGATGACACCACACAGTCTTTTAGACAGGTGACCTCATTGCTGACTGATCTTGACACGCCCGTCAAATGTTCTGCGGCCAGCCGGAAACGAACGTGACCAGATAGGCAAATGTGTCACTTCCTGCAGTGCCACCCCCTTGTGGGCAGATGAGGCAGCCATCTTGTTTGAGCGGCACTGGAGGCCACGCCCCAAAAATCCCCCAAAGTCCAAAATGTTGACATGGTGTGCGACTGCTGTCCTCCTTACGCCATGCTGAACACACACACACACACACACACACACACACACACACAAACACACACACAACATCAACAATGTGTGCCATTTTAGCTTAAATGCACGTGTGTTTATAAGTGTGCAGGCCTGTATTTGAGGGATGACGAATACGCGAGTCTGGTTTACGCATGCATTGTGTCCAACCTGTCGATGAGAGAGTCCCTCATGGCAGTGGTGATGGCGGAGGGCCGTGCGTCATCACTAAGCCCGAAGACGCTCTCGATGACAGACATCTCAGTGCTCGTGGTGTCCAGTCCGCAGAAGGCCGACCAGTCATTGACTACCATTCCCGCTGCGATCACGTCGCTGCCCCGGTTCACTGTGCCCGTCTGTGGTACACGCATGCACCCGTCAAAAGGTGGCTAATCCCACGTGAGCAGGTGTGGCGAGTACTCACCACCAGGGGCACCTGCAGGAGAGATGACAGCTCATCCTGGTCCTCGATGGACGTCTTGGGGTGTACGAGGCCACCCCGGTTGCTGAAGGCGCAGTAGGAGCCCACCAGAACCTGATCAGCAACCGTGTGGCGGAACACCTCCACCTTCAACGTGTCGCACAGAACCTCCTCTGTCTCCTGGGGGTGAAAGGGGCGGCAAAGCCTGTAAGCCTGTGCAGTCAAGGGCGCGGGTGTGCACGGGAGTAGTCGGTTGGTCTGACCCTGTCCAGGTCCGGATGGACGAGCGCCACATAGTCATTGCACGCGATGACGTTCCCGAGTGCAGAAAGACGCTCTTCTACCCTCTGGATGTTGACAGATGAGGGAAGGCAGTTGCGGATGTGCTGCAGTTCCTGGTCCGTGGTGTTGTTAGGGACCAACAGGCCGTGACGGTTCCCTGCAGACACCGACTCACGCAGTCACCTTGCTGTTCGCTAAAAGTGACGGAAATGGCGAAAGCGACGGAACTTGCCGTCAGGGACTCACCCACACACATGCGTCCGATGATACGACAACCAGCAATGGACGCGTGAACCACCGGGATGCTTTCGGACAACTCGCCTTCGAACACACTGAGGAAGGACAGGGAGCCCGTCAGTGACGTTAAGCGGTCGGTCGGACGGCCAGCCCAGAGAGACACGGCGACGTAATTCCGGTACTAACCTGTAGAAGTTTTCTGCGCCGCCGATGGCCACCAGACAATATGTGTTGGTGAGTTTGGCGAAGCAACCGATCTCGTTGTTCTTCTCGAAGGCGGCGCGCACAGCCATCGCGACGCAAATAGCCTGACGGACACACACAAGGCGAAAAAGAGCAGCGACAAAGCCAAAGCTCGGCGTTAGCACGCAAGCTAGCACACGAGTGGCTTAGCTGAACGCAGGGACGCCACGTCAATTGTTGTGGAAGGGGAACCAGTAAAGCACTTGCCGGAAAAAAGTTGGCCTCTCAATTATTTTTCTTACGGGCCTCTCAATACTTTTTCTTACGACGTACGCGTGTTTTTCACGGCCTCACGTGTTGACTTCTGCTAGACTTTACGCGATTGGGTCATACACTGACGCTTGTACGTCATGACGTAACGCGCTCTGAACCGGAAGGATATTCAACAAATTGTTTATTTTCTTCCTGTATTAATAGAAGGCTGAAATGAACTGTTTTGATGGAGTTAATGTGAGGATGGGTATGTTTAATTGGAAGCCAACGTTTTAATAAAGGATTGTAGTATTGTCAATGAGCCAAACAACAGAAGCTTGGTGCTCATTAAGCCGCCCCCTTGAGCAGTTGGAATTGAATAGGTCAACACGCGCACGTAACGCCTCTTCGACGCTCCGATTGGTCGCCAAGCTTGTGACGTTGCGGCAACAAATCTCTGCTTTTGGTAACCTCTAACTTGTCTCGTTTACGTTGCGACATTGGACGGTAGCCTTTTTTATTCTCGACATTTTTCAGCGCGTAGAGGTTCCCGGATTGTTGTTTTGGTTCTTGTGTTAAATTTCAAACGCGTCATCACGACGTGCATCTCCATTCGAGTGTGTGAGCGTGTGTGTGTGTGAGATTTCCCTCTCCAAAGTCGAAAATCTTTGGGGCGAGCCTGGAAACAGGAAGTGCCGTGCTGCGTTTCAAGTGCACCATAAAGCGACCTCGGAGTGCGTCAAACGCTGGTCAGACAGATGGGTCAACTTTTTGTCCGTCATATTAGTTGGAAATAAAAATCATGTGAAGTATTGACGACGATGATGTTATGTTCAGGAGTGAAGCAGGATGGGAGGACAACAAAGTCAGCCAGACCAACGAGAACAAGACACGCCCCCCTCTGGCATGGCTCAATCGCAAGGTCAGACACCCGCGACCTTGTGCGTGCGTGCGTGCGTGCGTGCGTGCGTGCGTGCGTGCGTGTGTGTGTGTGTGTGTGTGTGTGTGTGTGTTGAGTCAAGCCAGTAAAGTGGTGTTGTGCTTTCAGGAGAGCTGCCGCAGTGCATGATGGGAAACAGGAAGGTGGACGACATGCGCTTCCTGATCTCATGCACCAACTGGTATTGACGACGATACAGTGTGCAGGAGTCAGTCATGGAAAGCGACACCAACGCGAACAGGTGCTGCAAGTGGCTCACTGTGGCGGTCATGATGATGTCACAGGCAAACGATACAAAGTCAGCCAGCCCAACGAGAACAAGACACGCCCCCCTCTGGCATGCCTCAATCGCAAGGTCAGACACCCGCGACCTTTTGCGTGCGTGCGTGCGTGCGTGCGTGCGTGCGTGTGTGTGTGTGTGTGTGTGTGTGTGTGTTGAGTCAAGCCAGTAAAGTGGTGTTGTGCTTTCAGGAGAGCTGCCGCAGTGCATGATGGGAAACAGGAAGGTGGACGACATGCGCTTCCTGATCTCATGCACCAACTGGTATTGACGACGATACAGTGTGCAGGAGTCAGTCATGGAAAGCGACACCAACGCGAACAGGTGCTGCAAGTGGCTCACTGTGGCGGTCATGATGATGTCACAGGCAAACGATTATCCATGTGCGTGTAGTCCACTTGTCCCAATGTTACAGCACGCTTGAACACATTTGGAGAACCAAGATACTGTATTCCCTACAAATGGACTTATGATTTGATGTTCAAGCTCGATTCGTAGTCATTGTGTTGTGCCTTGTAATTTCATTTTATTTTTGTTGGAGATACAATTTTTCAAATAGATGGAACCAAGGAAAAGAGGCTGAATGAATGTAAGTGCTGGCGTTAATGCAAGGTGGGCCAGATTCAAGGTGGGAAAGTCCCCCACCCGAGCCAACTCCTATCTGTTGTTTGCCCATACAGCCCTCCCTTGTGCTCTCCTGCATGTTCCACATATGTGGTACATGCTTGTTTGTGTGTGGTGCATGCTTGTGTTTCGTCAGCATCCTTGTGAAAGTTGACTCAGTGTTGACCAAAGAGGAGGAGCAGCCACTGACATCATCATCTTCACACTCTTTATTTTCATAAGCAAATCAAGAGCAAACAGGGACAGAGCACATTCTAATGGTGGACTTGGAATGGTGTACAGTATACGCACAACCTGGGTAGGGCACTAGACACGTTTGAAATGTATGTATAAAAGGAGGCAAGAGAAAGGCTTTTAACATGAACTCTTATTCAGAACCCTAAACCTGCCTTGAAACCCAAATCCAGTTGAACTACCTAATAGGGCTGTCACGATTTTAGATTTTTAGACTCGTTTATGATGTTGATTATGCCACTGAATAAATGCAGAACATTTTATTTTGCATTGAAGTGTATTCCAAAACCATTTCTTCTCGCAGTTACTGTTTAATTAAAAAAATACTGTTTATTTGGTATTGTTTAGGCAACTAGGTGTTATAACCCAATGAACAATTAGGACATAATTACACAAAAGTACAGAGAGGCAATGAAAGGATGGGATTAGTGCGGTATTTCATTACGCGTCAGCGTACTGAATAAGTGTGGACGGGATACGATCAAACGATTTGTTTGGAACTCAGCCCCAACTTCAGGGCGCTCTATTGGGTAGCTTTTAAGTCGCTCGGAGAAGCGTTTGCCGCCAGCGGAAGTGACGTTGTGGAAGAGGCGGCGCTCTGGAGTCTGAGTGACAGCCAAGGTATCAACAGGTGATCCGGAACCTGCCGAGCCACACAGCAAGCGATTGAGGAGTCGCGTCACTTTACTTATTTTCTTACGCTCTTCTTCCTCGTCGACGTCGTCGCCTATTCTCGGCTCCAACTTGGGGAGAAGTCGGATGAAAGTTTGCCCGGCGGCCAGCCATGAGTTCGTCGGAGAGTCTCCGTCCGGCCCCCGGAGGTCGCAAGCCGCTCGGCAAATTGGCGGCCCGCCTGGAGGAGCTCAAGAGTCCGTGGCGGCAGGTGTCATCGCTGGAACTCAGCCACAGCGAGGCCGCTCGCCTGGCCACCGACGCGCTGCTCGAGCACGGCGAGCCCGAGTACCGCCGTGTCCTTACCGAGGAGCGGGAGCTCAGCTTCTTGTCCCAAGCCGAGATCCAGTACATCACACTCCACCGGGACCCGGGGAGCGACGGCGCGGCGGCCGGGAGCGGGACTGGGACTGGGCCCGGGAGCGAGAGGGGAACCGGCCCGTCGGCGGCGGCGGAGGACCATCCCGAGGCAGGTGAAAGCGACAGCGTCGATGACGTCGCGTCGGAGCTCACCTCCGGGACTTACTTTCCGACGATGACCGACGACGAGCCGCCGATCCTGGAGCTCGGGTGGCCGGACGCCCCGATCAGGTACGGGCCCTCGGAGACGCAGATCTACTTCCAGAGGGACAAGACCGTCAACGTCAAAGACAGAATACGCTCGCTCATCAACAAGGCCAAGAAGGTACGTGCCCGCGCACACGCACACGCACAGAGCGTCAAAAAGAAAGAGAGAAAGAAAAAGATGCACTCATGATAATCGAGAAAGAAGGACTCTGAAAAGAGAAGCACAGTATAGGGACCCCTGCTGTTTAGAACTGTCGCCCAAAAACTTTTTTCTCCCCTGAAAAAAAGCAGTATTGGAAAAATATACCGCCAGTAACGGATGATAGGTTCGCCCCCAAAATGTGCAAAAAGCTGCGAATGGCAAATATCCTACAGTAGCTACATTATGTGAACAAAGTGCACCTGCAAACGATAATTGCATCGGGTAGTTCTTGCTTTGAGCCTGGCAGAATGTGCGTTTCCACCACATGGGTTTTCTTTAGTGCTGCATATTCCCATTCATGTCATTATTGACTCAAGATTGCAAAGGTCATGAGCGATAACCAGATTGATGTGCCTTAGGGTTGGGCCATTATGGAAAAAAATACAGATACATTTGATTGCTATTGCCATCACAATGAATAAACATGGTTCCTGAATGATTGATACATATCCACATTTCCTGGACTTTGTGCCACTGAAGTATTTCGTTCTCCTGCACCAAATGACTAATGACAAAGACGTTTATAGAAAGCCCCGTGTGTGGACACAATTTGAATGCATGCTCGAGCTCAATCTGCCTTTGTTCAGAGCAGACTGCACTTCCCCCCGTACAGCGTGCCTGTGGTCAAATCCGAGTCTAAGTAGCCAGCAGCAAATAATGTAACTTGTAACGATGACCTGAAGTTATTGGGCAATAGACCTCGCTGGAACAATGCAAGTGAAACGTTTGCAAGTGAAAAGCCGTTCGAAGAAACGGTTGGCAGAAGTTGATCTGTCGGCTGAATGACTCAAATGATGAAATAATTTCATCAATCATTGTCCTTGAACATCAGTTGAAGTGCTACACTATACCTGTCCCACATCAGGAAAAAGTGCCGCTGTGTCTTGTATGACGCTTTGTTGGTTATCTTGCTGTCTGTGTGTAGTTGTATATTGTCTGCAATAAAGCATTTCATTTAAAGACTCAGTATTTGTTCAGCTTTCAAAACTCGAACATAACACAAAAGGACTAGCAGAAAACAAATGAGCAACAAGTGAACAAAAAAAAAAAGAAGCAATAACTAAAACTAAATACTAGTTCCCTTCTTGGCCTATTTGGGGCAGTGTGGTGCACTGCATGCAATGTAGATGCACATTTGCAAAGAAAAAAAATAGAAGAAAGTCATGCTTGTACAGTACTTTATAAATATACTGCAACTTGATTTTCACAGATTAGGACGATTATATTCCAGCGACTCTTGCTCTATGACATATGTGTATGTGTTCCGTGTGTGTGCGTGCGTTGCAGGTGATCGCAGTCGTCATGGATGAGTTCAGTGATGTGGATTTGCTGTGTGACCTAATGGAAGCGTCCAGCAAGCGCAAAGTTCCCGTCTACATTTTGCTGGACCACAAGAAACTTCACCTCTTCACCGACATGTGCTCCTCTTTGGACGTGCACGGCGTTAACATGAGCGTAAGGGGCTCCAAGTCAGCCGACATCGCCTCCCGGTGCGCGTGTGGAAACGCGACGCGCACCCCGGCGGACTCATGCTTCCTCTCCCTCATCATCAGTCTGACTCCTTGTTCCTCTTCCTCTGGCAGAACATGCGCATACGCAGCGTGTGCGGCGACACATACTGCACAAAGAGCGGGAGGAAGTTCAGTGGCCAAGTCCTGGAAAAGTTTATGATCATCGACTGTGAGGAGGTCATTGCCGGATCCTACAGGTCAGTTAAGGACACACGCAAGCTTTGAAACCTTGTTTTCTTGCATCACATCTCACAAATACAAAACAAACACCGTTGTTTCTTTTTTGAACGTGTGAAAAAGAGTGCTTCCGCTTGGAAAAAAATGTTCCTCTAATGAAAACGTTGATGCAAACAGGATCAAATGGGCACGCTCACACTCACACTCTTTTTTTGTTTTTTTTTCATGTGGAGCTTTAAAGATGAGGAATGGCTTAGAAGCACATTCCTTTGGTCAAAGGATCTTGATAAATGACAGTTCTTGCGTAACGTCTTCAGCATGTGCAGCGCCATCGACTCCGTGCGGTGGTCTTCTTTGCAGGAATAGGAGTGATCCATACTGGATTCATCCTGTGAGGGACATTACATTCAAGTCGCAGAGTTGTTGGTGTGTTTTTTTTTTTTTTTTTTAAATCTTTTCTATATCGTGACGAAATGGCTATTTTGTTCAATCAAACAATGTTTCCGAGAACTACTGGAGCTCTTCTCTATTGTCAGCCATGTTAGTTAGTGTAAGCAATGCTTGTTAGTGGAAATTACGGAAGCTAGTCAAAAAAAAAAAAAAAAAAATCAATCTAGATCGTCCTGACAAATCCGTTTGAATTAATTGTTAAAATGGTACCCCCCTAGGACATGCGCATACACAACACACACACACGCACGCACGCACACACACGCGCGCGCGGGCCCATAAGCAAGAAATGTTATTGTGTGAGCATCACGAGTTGGTGCAAGCTCAATTTTTCTGCCATGGCAACCGCCCGGTGAGTCGCCCACTTCCCGTTTACTGGAGGATGGCAAATAGAGTTGGTTAGTTTGCGAGGTGTGACAGCGCGCACGCTGGCTGGAATGAAGGGCGAGGCTCCACCTACCCGTCGACCTGCGTATGGAATTTCAAGCTTGCCAACTGGGTGTGTCTACCAATTACTTTCACGTCCTCAACACTCCTTCGTATCATTGACATTTGTACTTGATGCATATATATCGATGCTGTCGGGCGGAAAGCCCGTCTGTCCAAATACGGCCAATTTTCCATTCTTTACAAATACTAGTCTGTACCTACTTGGTCTGTTGTGTTGAGACAATACTAACTAAAACCAACCAACAACCAAGCAACCAAATGAAAGTGTGGAACGTAGCTTGACAAGATATGGGGGAATCGTTGGCGCATGCTGTTTAGCGCCGCCCCAGCTCTCTGCGAGCTACAGCTTGCTAGCTCACATGGCTAGCCACAAGTTCACTTTGTGTCCGGTGTCAACGCAACACAAGTCACAAGGAACTAATCATGATTTCCGAGGCTTCTGGCTTGTACGGTTATCAGGGATCGAGGACGGGGAGAAGGATAAGGAATCCATGCTAACGGCTAAGCGTGGCTGATGCTGTACACTTAGGGATGACTGGAACCGTGTTCTCGTGGAGAGTAAACAATGTCGGTTAGGTTTCTGCAGAGAAAATCATCCAAGATAATGCGGCACAGGAAACAAATTAGTACGTCAGCCGAGAGGACAGGTTCAAAGTATATTCATGTCATAAATATTGTTATATAAGATGAGGTAACCGTCATTAGTCCCATGAGGATTAGGAACCGCGGATATAAGAAATAGACAAAAACATGCAACTATCAAATCCAATCTATCAACAATGATATTTTTTTAGTGAGCAAAATAGCGTGTTGTTAGAATTCGGACTCTGACGAATATGATTTTGTAGACTTTTTTTTTTTCCTCTACAGTTGGAAACAGAGTGGCTAAAGGCTAATTCATCCCTAGAAAGCAATATTTTGGACGTTGACACACTGAAAATGTCAAACACTTTGGTTCAGGCTGAAACTGCGTGCACCATTACAAGGTTGTTGGAATGAATACGACACAATAAAAATGTCAAAGCTAGGATCGGGGAACCATTATTTCTATACAGTAGACTTATGATTGTGTTGTGCAAGTGAACAGTATGAATAATTCTTTTCATCCTTGTACATAATATGGTGCAATTAACCGTCGTGTGGTAATGAATTTCCCCCAAATGAGTTGTGGCGCTACGCGCTCTCTGCTGCTCCCTCCCTGAAAAGTCTTCGCGGAGCTCCTATGGCGGAATAGGATCAGAACATTAAGCGCAGTCCAGGTTTGTGTACTACATCATCTTGAGGCGGATGCTGTTTCGTTTGCTTTGGCTGGTGACCAACGAAACAGGTCACAAGAATTTCAAGCTCAATGTGAAAAGTGACAAGTCGTCATTCCGGTTGCTCGAGATTTGGATCAACGCTGAACGCTGGCGACAGGCAAACGCAACTGACTCCGCTCTTGCTAATCAGGTTAAACATGCGAACCATATGTGTGCAGGATGCATCTATAGATCGGGTGTCAACATTGGGATAATATTTCTTTCTTTTTGTCATGAGTCTATCACAAAAAGGGAACAAGAAAAGTGGTGGGGGGGGAGATCACTTAACACAGCTTAGAAGAATATGATATGATGATGCACGGGAGTGCGTATATGTCAATATTTCATTGTCATACCATCAGAATCTAATATCGGCAATTGCCGATATTATTGAATTGAAGCCATATTTTATGAACACTTACGATGTTAGCATAACAGTTATGTTGTGCACTTCTTTCTCGCCCATTGCACAGTATACTGCAGTAACTCGTTGTGCAGTAATCTTCTTGACACAATGTTACAAATATGGACATTCAGACAAATTGCTCCCGGATGTGATTTTCTTGAGGTTGGCAGCTCTGCGAAAAGCTTTCTGCCGCTTTTTCACAAGTTGCAAATATTGTATTGAATAGAAGCACGGCGTATCGTTACACCCCCAGCAAATATGTTGAGCGACGTAATATACAAATCTCTTTGGTGTTAAAATATGCAGAGGCTTCATATTTCAAAAGTTTTGTTGGGATTTTTCCTGTCTCCGGAATGAACTCAAAGAATAACATGTTTACAAAAGTGCCGAAGGCTCGCCACTGAGGGCTAACGCAATGCTAGCCGCAGTTCAGCGGCTGCTGGCTAACGCTAGCGCCTGCTCATGCTGACTGCTGGAGTGACATGATGTTATTCCTAAGTGCTCATGTTGGACTTGTTGATTGAAAGTCATTTGTGTGTGTGTGTGCGTGTGCGTGCATGCGTGCGTGTGTGTGTGCAACGCAGCTTCACATGGTTGTCAGCCCAAGTCCACAACAACATGGTGATGCATTTCTCGGGTCGCATCACAGAGAGTTTCGACCGCGAATTCCGCTGCTTGTACGCCGACTCTCAGATCATCGAGTGCTTCTACAGCGAGGACGACGAGGGTGTTCCGTACTTCCCGCTATACCAAATGCCCCTGATGATGACGGGCTTCACGCCGCTCATCAAGGCCGATCTGCTTTCAGACAGGTACGCATCTGTGTCAATGCCAAACCTTGTGGCCGCCAATTTAGAGTGTTCTACTATTAATGATGAATTTTAAAAGTGTTATTCTTTGCCTTGGTATTGAAATGCCCTCATGGGAGAATCCAACTGAATCTCTCATGATCGTCACTTACTGGAAGAAATTGTAGGCAGAGCTGCAAAGCAAATGTGCTTTTCAAAGTAAGCCTTGGCCCAATAGTATGCGGTTGAGAGATGGATCTCCTCCTGAAACCGGCCAATATCACCATGGAAACATGATTGTAAATAGAACGGAAGTCTCCAACACAGTGTGTACCCTGCCTCTCGCCCAAAGTCAGCCAGGATTGGCTCCGGCATCCAAGCTGGAAATGTATCTCCTTCAATGTGTTTTTTTTGTCAATGGCTGCTGTGCGTTTCTTTGTCGTCATGGTAACGGCCCATTCTGGTCCTAACCGGCAGGCAGCGGCCCGGTTCCGACAACTCCAGCAGCCAATCGGACTGCAGCCTGTCCAGCGTGAAGGCGGCGCCCGGCTTGATCTCCAACCCTGTTTACAAGGTGACCCAAGGTCACGATAAAGTTGACCCGCTGCCCTCTCACCTCAGTCTGGAGCGGCGCGGCGCTGAGCGGCGCGTCACCGAGCGGCGGCTTCAAAACCTGGTACCGCCTCACCCCTCCTCCAACGGGGCGGCCAATCACAGTCCGCTCTTGGAGCGCCGGACTCCAGCCTACGGCCTGGAGCGGACCAAGAGCAACGCGGCCGAGATCATGTGGGCTCACCGGGTAGGCGCGCCCTCCAAGCTCCAGGCTCTGGGACTGTACGAGCACAAACTCAACCTGTTCCATGCCACGCCGCCGCCACCTCGCCTCCACCGGAGCCACACGCCCCCGTTGCTGGTACCGGAAACCAAACTGGGCACCAAACACACAGGCGCATCCAATCAGCTCTTTCATAAACTGTCGGACTTCTTCCTGCCGCTGTCGAGCAAAGACCACTTGGCCAGGTCGGCATCTCCTATCGGCACCGTGGCGTGGGGGGGGCCTGACCTCTCGCTCAACGAGCCCGAGAGCCAGCAGGCACCCCCGCCCCCACCCCCCTTGCTCCAGGTTCCAAGGCAAGACCAGAACCTAATACAAGACAAGAGCACCAGAACAGAACAAAGCGCACAACAGGACAAAATGACCAAGCAGGACCAAATGACCAAGCAGGACCAAATGACCAAACAGGACCAAGTGACCAAACAGGACCAAATGACCAAGCAGGACCAAATCACCAAGCAGGAACAAATCACCAGGCAGGACCAGAAGCGCATGACTCTGGGCCACAGCAAGCTGGATCTGGTCAACCAGTACAACAAGATGAAGACCAAGCAAGTTTACAGTCGCTTTGAGCTCAAGAGCTCCCAGTGACATCCTGGGGTGATCAACCTCGAGCGTCCTCAAGACACCCAAATGCTCCGAACTTGTCTGGAAACCTAGGAGGACAACCCCCAAACAAATTCCATGTCATTAATTTGCGAAGAATTCTCTAGGTTCTCCGATGGTGTCGATTACCCGGGAGGACCAGCGCACCAAACGGGGACCAAACCAGCAAATAAGTCCCAACCAACCAGAAAGGACCAGAAAGGCATGACTTTGGGCCGCAGCTTTCTCCATCAGCTCACCCAGTACAATAAGATGAAGATCAAGCAGGTTTATATTTACTTGGAGCTCTTGAGCTCCAAGTGACCTTCTGGTGAACTCCTAGGGCTTGATTTGCAAAACGTTTGGGTGTACAAAAACGGGCACAAGCTTGATTGCTCATGAACACAATTGGAAGCGGGCGTACCGTCCGGGCGCAAACAGATCACAATGGCCAAAGTGGCACAAAATTGCCACGTGGTTCATCATTTTGTGTGTTGTGGGTGGATGGTTTGGGAAGGTTGACGCCTGACGGCAGCGATATGCCGTGTCTTTTAGGAGCGCTGAAGTCAATTTGTATCTTGCGCCCTTTCAAAGTGCAGCCATTCTCCCATCCAGACTTCTGACACACACGCACCATGCGTAACTCGGGTCAAGTCGTATAGTGGCCCGAATTTCCTGATCATGGAGTTTTCATGAGGCTCGTGAGATCCATTTTGAAAATATGTCACACTTTGGTTGCGACGCTAACTTGCGTAGTGGTTTGTCTGATCTTTGCTAATGACGTGTGCGCGCTTCATCTACAGGCTACTTTGCTGGAGCGTGTGTTTGTTAAAGCTTACTCCACGGCCTTTTTGTGGGGGGGGTTGTGTTCCCCCCCCCCCCCCCCCCCATTGAAATCCAATCCAATTAACGCTATTTCTTCGGAATACTGTGCTCGTAACTGAACGCTTGCAAATTGAGTTCACCAGGTTGCTAAGCAATGCAAAAAAAAAACAAAAAAACACACTCAGGCCAAAAACTAAATTAGTGAGCCTCAACGACTGCGAGGAATCTAGGAAACAAGTCCATCAAATAGACTCTCCTCAATTCGTCGTGTACGCGTATGGCTTGACTGTACATTTGTATATACTTTGTTTGCGATACTCAAACAGCACGGTGGAGCACCTGCCTCTCGTAGGCGGTGCCTGACACTTTGCTCTTGGCGGAGGTCATACGGAGGTGTGTCCATATTTGCAAATATTCTATGCAAACATATATTCTGCAGAAGAGGACCGAGTTTTGTTTGCCTTTTTTTCTTGGAGTGATGGCCATCACTGAACTCCCAAACAAACACCTTCATGTTATTGACTTAGCAAAGCGGGATTGTCACAGCAACTTGTCTCATTTGATCAAGAAATGCGTCAATGTTTCCTTTTTCTGAGAATCCATAACATCAAATATTTTTCGGTTGTTGCCTTTGTAGCAATTAAAAAAAAAAAAAAAATCAACATTTTGTATTTGGTCATTTGCAAGACATTTAGAAGCTTCTCATAACATTTCCCATCTGCGTTTTGGCCGTTCCTGTGAGCTTGTTTTTGACTTTGAATATTTCTTCACATTTTCATGCATTACCGTCTTTTGGTGTGCAAAGTGACGTTTGCGACTTTAACCAGCAAAGGAGCCACAATAGCTTCATGCGAAGAGTCGACATAGCTTTTTCTTCTTTACTTGACTTTTTTTTTCCTCCCTTTACAGTTGATAGAAAAAGGGTGTGCACACTTGTGCAACCACATGATCGCAGTTTGTGTTGACGTTGTATTTGCCGTTATTACAGGAAAAGGTTTGAAAATTACTCATCTTGGTCTCAATCTTATTCTTGCTGAGAATAGGGGTGTGTAGACTTTTTATATTCACCATTTTTTCTTTTTTTGCTTCATTCTAAAACAACCCAACATGGGTTCATAAGTGACCGACAAAAAACACGTGTTTGGGCTTGTTTTATGACTCGGGAGTTCAGTTGACTCCTGTTGGAGTCCAAATTGTCCATCAACCTTGCTGGAGGCCATCAGGCGCAGGCGGCTCCTTTCCTGTTTGAGTGCAACGTGACCCTGGGGAGCTCCCGCACAATATGTCTCTTTCGCTCCCGCACAATAGCCGCTTCCCTCACACAGGAAGTCCACATCCCGCTTCCTGTCAACACGGCCACAAACCAAGAAAAGACGTCAACGAGGGAACGCTGTGCCTTCAGGGCCGCGCTACTTTGCTTGAGTCCACATTGTGGCTCACAACGGTGCCCTGGATAAGAATTTCGGCCAAGTTGGACTGTTTGTTGACTGCTTTGTTCAAAAGGGCAGCACCCAAAATGGATGCCGGGAAGTGCATGTGCATAACCGCAGCTTGGAAGAGAGGATGAGATGAAAGCATTTTTTGTCTGGCTGCTTTGCACTATGATGGGAAGGAGAATCAACTCGGATGAAAGCTGCCCATTGTGTCGCATGAATTTCAGTGGACTGAAAAAAAATTTTGGAGCATTGTGAGGGTGTTTAGTAGAAAGAAGCAGAGAAAGCCAGAGTGTGATAACCCCTTTTGTTCAGAAGAAAGAACAAACAACGATGAAGGGATTCAAAGACATTTACATGCAATCTGAAAAAAAAAGAAACAAGAATAAATTAGGAAGGTTTGCAAAAGAATCATTGTAGTCCCACATTTGTAGAACGCATGCAAAGGGCAAGTATGACATGACACAAATATGTCGTCTCATGACACAATGACGACCGATTGTCAAAGTGGGATGGGGCTGTGTTGAGAATGAAGCAGTCGCATCGAAACGTTTTATCCGCACGCCTCCCACCAGTTCACAGGCCCGGCCGGCATTCAGCTCAAGTGTATTTGAGCTGCTCTTGTCGGCTGTGTCACCACCACAACGATTCCCCAGCTTAGTTAGTGAGTTTGGACAGCACTGGCCTGGTCATTGGTGTGGAAACGCGACCATTTATCGGCCATGTTGTGGGCTCCCCCTCCCCCATGGATGCTGTCCCTTTTTCGGGATGCAAATGGACAGTGTGTGTTCAAGATGCCCTGCGGCCACGTGAGCAGTTGTGGCATGGAAACTTCCTCATTAAGATGGTACTTGCTTGTAAAAAGACTTGCAGCCGGGGACGTGAGGAGGGCGAGGCCAACGGTGGTCCCAAGGCATCTACCTGGGGGGTCGAAGTGCATCCATGTCCCCTCCCCGTCCTCCTCGTTGACATAAATATCATTAAGTGCAAGCACGTCGCCGGTCAATAATAGATGAATGCGCATGTTGACACCCTGCTGGGATAGAGGGGCCACACACTTTGAAAACAATCCGTCCTCACAACCCATTGATGGAAATATTTATCTCATAATGGATGCCGACTTGAGCTGGGTGATTGGGAGTCGGGGGGTGAAAAAAAAAAAATTGACTTCCTGTGTCTTCTAAGAGACTTATAAACTGGGCTGGCGGCCCAGACTTTTAGCCCAGCGGTCAGCATTCTGCTCTCCCAAACCGGCGGCAGGGGGGTGAAAAAAATAGACTTCCTGTGTCTTCTAAGAGACTTCTAAACTGGGCTGGCGGCCCAGACTTTTAGCTCAGCGGTCAGCATTCTGCTCTCCCAAACCGGCGGCGCCAATTCAATACCCAAGTTGGTTGGACGTCGCAACAGTAAAAAAAAACTCCACTTGTCCTTTGTCAAAGTCAGTGAGTAAGCTTCCGTCTTGAGTTTTCTGACGTGATGTCGCCATAGCAACGAGAGCGTGCCCAAAGAAGCACTGCCCGTTTTGCCACAGACACGCAATGAAAACCTCAGGAAAGACATTTATTTCCTGCCATGGCCGTGGATGCCAAAGGTCAGCAGCCTGCTTCTCTCTGCTTCCTGTTGCCACGGTGAGGCCCGTCGTGTCACACGAGCTAGGTGGAGCTAGCTTGTGTCAAGTCCTTAGTTTATTCACGTCATCCCTTATTTTCAGTTTCTTTTCAAGGGCTGTTTTTGCCTTTCACTAACTACATGAACAGCACCAACAAGTTGGCCATTTGCTGGCCATATTAGTACAATTTTCCAAGCCCTCAATGCACATCGGTATCAAACCAACGCCCCCCCACCCCGACCCCCATCCACACATTTTCACCAAAATGTAAATTTCTATTATTTCTGCAAAACGTTTGAAAGAATGTTTGCTATCAACTCATCTCACTTAAATTTACAGCACACTTGAAATGGCAGAAGAAAAAAATGAAATGTGATTGGTGTTTGCTTTTTTTGATAAGCAAGGGGGAACAATATGAAGGCCATCCATCTGAAGAACAAAAACAGCACGCTGCCCGTCATCTCTCGTTATCATCTTTGAAGGCCATCCCTGTGAAGAAAAAAAAACAGCACGCTGCCCGTCATCTCTCGTTATCATGACAATTCTTCTGGCAATCGAGATTTGCGCAAGGCGTGTAAATCTCTGACCATACACTAACCTCTTTTTTAAATTCCTGTTATAAATGAATAGGTTGTGCGAGGATTCTTTTGGCGTAAATATCCAATCCGCATGAATGTTTTGACCCTGATTTCATGTTGTATTGTTGTTCATGAAAGATGAGCTTGCTGTACGTGAGTGACCCTTTTCAGCTTTTGACTGACATATGCCACATCAAAATCACCTGAAGGAAAACGCGTGAGCAACAACCAGCACGAGCCCACATCCAACGGCTGATCTCGTGGTTGGCTGGAAGGGATTCACCGAAGTCGTTTTGACTCATGAGCTCCTTCCCGACGAGGAACTTTTCTCGGTGCTCTGACTCCATGGCCGAGCAATGAGTGAGTAAACACCTCCCACCACAGGAGAAGAGAAGAGCACGCCCACCTGAACGCAAGCGTGGTAAATGTCCCCGTGCGCCCGAGGGCGGGTGACCAACTGCTGAGTCCAGCTACAGTCCAGAACTGCACGAGAAGCCCACCAGGCCCACCTGCTAAACGTCACACGCTTCACTCTTGCTTCTTCGACGTCTACTACCCTAACACCACCGGGACGGTCTCGCCGCACCTCGTACGGACGACGGGCTTCTCCTCTATATGACGTCATCACCGTTGCCCTGACGTCAGGACGTCAACACAACCGGTGAGCTGTCATTGAATGAAACTTAATTGATGTGATGACTCTGATAATGAAGT